GACACCTCGATCTACACCAGGCCTTAACTCTTACCGTAAGAACCCCTTAGTGTAAACACTATTTGGGGAATATTGCCCCCGGGGGTAGTTTGAGGGTTCAGCTACCATCAAAATGGAGTGGGAACCTGGACGAAGTATCAGCCAGGGATCGCAGGGGTCGGCCGTGCTGATGCGCATCTTCCGCCTGCTCGAAGAATCTTTGCACCGCGGCCTGGAAGGGCGAACGCTGGAAGCAGAGCCCTGGGCACCAGAGGAGCAGCAAGCAAACGCCTCAGCCAACCGAACATTCCAACAAACGGGCAACCCCTTCCATTTGAAGAAACCCCCCCTGAAAAGAATGGGAATATATTTCCGCTAGTGATAGACTCCCGCTAACACCAGGGGAAATATAACATATTCTGAAGCAAATCGAAGACCCTTAATTGTGGGCCAGAACAAAAGCACGAAATAATAAGGCTGACCACATGTTTTTTTTGGCGGTTCTTCCCGACAGCTGAAAGCTTTGGAGTCTCAGCCCAGATAGGCTCCGGGGTGGTCCGGGGCGGCCCTGAGGTAAGGTTCCACCAGGGTTCCACCAGGGTTCAACGAGGCTCTGCGAGGGCTGCGGGTGGTGCGAGCACTAACAAGAGCACGGCATGCTGTTGGGGATCACCTGAGCTTATGGTTTCTCCCTATTGCAGGTAACCAGGAGGAAAACCGGGTGAACTCAACTGATAGGCTATACACTATACACGACTGTGTATGCACATTCAGGAACATATGTCTCATATGTCCCGTTGAAAGCCGGGCCAGCAAGCTTCCCCATTTGGTTTCAAAAAGCCCAAAGCCACTAATCCAAACCACGAATTAAATCCAACCAAGGGGCAGCTGAGAAGAGGTTCCCCTAACATTGGGCAAAGAATGGAGGGAGCAAACCCCTGTGGAAAGCCATCCCCAAGTCTAAAACAGTTCACTCCCAGCCTCACCTCCCGAGCAAGCCACCCTCGCCCACCCGAGCCCTCTCACTAACTTGTTTTTTTGAATGGGAGAACTAGCGCACGAACGCTTTTCGGCAAGATTGGGGAGGGCCTTGGGGCGGGCGGGGGAGGAGCCTGGGGCAATTGGAATTGCGCAGTCCCGAACGAAGCAAAGTACTTTGTTTGCCAAATTTCGCAAAGCTGTTTTTGTGATCTATTGGAGATTCGCGGTGGTCCTTTGTACCTCTCAAATTGTGCTTTCGCGGTGCCTTCTTTTGTTCTTTTGTGCTCCCGCTTGTGGGTTTCCGTGATAATGATATAGTAGCGGAGTGCCCCGACGGGGGTTATTGGAGTTTCGCGGCGCTTGGTTTGTGCTCCCAATTGGTCTTTCTTGTGCTTTTTGTGTTTGTTTGTTTGTTTTTTGCGCTCCGTCTTAAGTGGTTTGCCATGATGATGGTTTAGTGGCCGGGTCCCCTTGCGGGGGAAATCGGCGTTTCGCGGAACTTGTTTTTTTTGTTGTGTGTGTGTGTGTCTAATATCGGTTCCCAAGTGGGCTTTGAATAACTGGCACAATGTTTAGTCCCAAGTTGAACAAAAAACAACAAACAATGGTGCCGCCGAGGGTACGTAAAATCACCACTCCCGAGTTGCGTCTCAATATCCCAGCCACTCGCCCAGGTATGGTATGCCAACAGCTCAAGACACCTCCAAATTGGGGGTCTCATTTGGTTTTATGATGCAACAACCCGAATGCTTTTCAACGATTGGAGACAAGCCCAAATAGAAGCCGAGAAGCGCCAGGGGCGCTTCTCCCGGGCGCCGATGCGCGCGCCGCGAGTGCCGCGCCAGCGCGAGGCTGGCGCCATCGCGGCGCTCAATGCATGGCGTCACAGGCTCGCGGCCCGGGGGGAGGGAAGCTCTGGGGTAGGACGGGCCAAGCTGAGATCCATTGCCTATGGTCCTATGGTATGCTTGGCAAACTTATTTTCTGGGTCCGAAGTTTAAGACAGTGGGATGCCCCCTGAAAGGGTCCGCTTAATTGTTTATGGCCGGCAAGACTGAATTCACACACCGCCAGAAACCTTCTGACAAGACCCATGCTGTGTGCCGTGCTGGCAGGCAAGGGGCGCCTGTACTGTGGTCGGTTGCAGCAATCGCTGGTTGGCCCGTTTTTGCTGGGTAAAACAAAGCGATGCGGTACTATTCAATACTAGATCTAGGATTTGCTTCTATTCATGGTAAGTGGAAGCCACAAACAACAAGCTCCACTGGCCTGCGGATAATGGTTTAAGTTGTCCTTCATGGGTGTGCTCAGTAGGTGGGTCCAAGGACGTGACGAGCACCGAAACCTCATTTAATGAGCGATGGCGTACCCATAAAGCTGGCTCTTCCAAGCGTCCGTTTGGGCCCCCAAAACAACCCGAACATCTCTAAATTCGGATGCGCCCCTATGTTTCACCCAAACAAGCCAAGTTGACATCAGAACCATAAGTCTGGCCGTGTGTCAACCCTGGGGCAGTTCCATGCCGCTTGCGCGTAGGACTGGTCTGGTCCTCTGGCTTTGATCCAAGGAGCCAAGAACACGACACAACACCATGCCGCTGCGTCCCTTCGAAACCGACCAATTTCAGGGGGGTCTTGTTGCCACCTTTGGTGGAAAAATGATGGACCCCTTGTAGTGAAGCATTCCTTGTTGAGGGGGTCGCCAATTTTCTCACAAAAGGTGGTAGAAAGACCCCCCTGGACCAATTTCAGACCCCCGGCTGAGGGATTTCTACTACCACAAAAAAACCACCTAGCAGAAGTACTACGCACGACGAGTGTGCTTCAACGCCCCTTTTGAACCATCCAACGTGGAATCCCCATCTTTAGGATCCCCTCGACCATAAGAGGCAGGGGGATGGGGGTCCCCAAATCCATTCACTAGTCTTCCCCATGAAGAGAAGCTTGAGCCATAAGTGGAGATCTCCAGGGGTCACCCCCTCCCCCAATTCCATTTTTAAGGGTAGGGATCTTTGAGGGCCATATCAATAAATCTTACTGCCATTGGCCCATAGGTGTTGCAGCGAATTGATCGGTCACGCGGAAAGTCCGCGAAGGCAGATCTCCAAAGGCTCCGGAGAGGTTTGGAGCAACTTGCTGCCTAGTTTCTGGATTCCCAAGTTGCAGTCCAATCAAAATGCGATTCAAATGCAAACCTTGCATTGGGTGTTCTTCTGCAAACCCCCCCCCCAAAAAAAAAACAAAAACAAGGGACAGTGGGGAACCCCTGTCACTTGGGACACAAAGCAGTTTACCTTCAAGCCTCTTGCCCACGTTTTTCTCGCTTGCCCCCAAGATCTCTGCCACGGTGTTGCCCGAAACGCGGAGTCAAGCGAACAGCCAAAGAATCAATAAGAGGGTGGCCGTCTCACGGGGCCAGCCTCAAATTGGGCAATTTCACAACCTTTGCCGCTAAACTGGGGGCTGAAAATCCTAGGGTCTTCCCAACTTGTTTTATACGTGCCATGGGCCTGAAACGGCAAACATAGCAACCAATAGTGTAGCGGAACCCCGTGCAGCTGGCCTGATGCATGACTCGAAACCATCGCCATTCGGAGGGCATAAGCTCCCGCGCTGGACACATCCCGCCCTAAATCTTTGGGATCGAAAGGGCCCACGGAACAACCGCACAGTTTGGAGAAAGCAACCAGCAAACTCCCAAAAAGTTGCGTCATTCCTCAATGTTTGGGGTCCCGCGAAGTCAGGAGTAACTTATCTTGGCAGTAGGCCTCAGCCCCTCATTGCTACCAGTGAGGGGGCTGTAGATAAGTTTGCTTCCCCCACGCTTGCCACAAGAGGAACAGGTGTCCCACACCCGCTACACAAACTAACTACAAAAACCACACACACACACACAAACAAGCAAACAACCACAACAAAAACACAGCAGCAAACAAAAACACACACAACAAGAAACACACACACACACACAGCGCGCACACAACAAACGCGCGAACACACGCATACCATAAGTAACATGCACACAAACACAAACACAAACGATCAAATAGGCCAAGAAGCAATTATGGAAGCGCACAACCATAGACGAACAAACACACAAGCAAACAGGCAAACAGGCAAACAGGCAAACAGGCAAACAAACAAGCAAGCAAACAAACAAACAAACTAAGTTATCTTAAACAAACAAACTTAAACAAGGCACTTACACGCATATACACATACGCGCACGTGTTACAAAATCAAGGCTTTGTACTTGTCACCTGTTTCTTCAGACCACGCGTCGGCTTCTCTTAAATCAGGTGCCCCGGATGGGACCCAGACATGGACTATCAGGTGATCACTTTTTTTTTTGGCCCATGACAATAAGAAGAGGAAACTGAAAGTTAAAAGGTCGATTCGCTTTGGACATGTGAGGTACTGATGCAAAGAACCAACCGGGCTCAAGCTTGGCAACGCAACCCGTACTGGGGGCAAAGAGCCTTTTATGCCTGGTGTCGGTTTGAAGGCATGGAAAGACACATGGCTACTTGCCCTTTCTTGACGCACAACAAAAATAACAGAGGATGAACGAAATCCTGCACCATAAAGAACTATATGGCTGGTTGGTATTTACAGGGGGCTCGAATCTGAAACTAGGGTTTCTAGGTGCGCAATGGATTTCGCAACCATCCACGGTACGATAACAAGAACGGGAAAAAACACACACAGAACAGTACAACATTAAAAGAACCATCTGAAAAACACTTGCTGGTGCTCAGGGAATGAGGGAATGACCCCTATAAACCATCCAACTGGTGGTTTCCTTTAAGGGGACCCCCAGGTTCATTCCATTTCTCCTTCCCTACCTAGGTCCTCCAGTAGAGAGCTCAGAATAAGGGCACCAACTTCTTTCTGCGGTCTATTTTAGTAGGGGAACCCTACAACCCCCCCCAAAAAAAAAGAGGAAACGGTCAAAGGTCAGAAACTGGGCACCACTCGCTGGGACCAATCGCTACCGAATGTCGCGTTTGCAGCCAGCACCGTCCGCTCGAAGCTCGGTGCCTCCTGGCTGAGCTTGTCCGGGGAAGGCTCATCCGCCACCATGGCCACCTCCTCTTCAGGTCATCCGCTCGGATGCGACGGGTCCCTTGGGGGTCCCCTCTCCTGGCCTCCTGGCCATGGATGCCATGGATGTTCCTACTCTAGGGCTTGAGGCCTGGTCTAATCAATTCTTTTCAGCCATCCTTCTTTTCAAGGACCAGATCTGCTTCCCCAGGGTGTTGGGTGCTTTTTTTTAAGGAAGAAAGAAGGATGCCTGGAAAGAATGGGGAAGGTACCCCTAGAATTACACCCTGGGATTACACCCTAGGAGAATTACCCCAAATAGTCCCAAACAAAGCGAGCTAGCAAGGTTTTATATCATAAACTAAAACAGGGTGATGGTTTACAGGGAATTCTCCCTCTGGGATGAATAGGAAACCCCTTGGAGTGGATGACTCGGGGGTAGAAGACGAAGTGTTCTTTCATTGAACACGTGTGGTGGGTTTCATGTGAGTGGATAGGACAGGAAGTCCTGTAAAGTTAGATTGAACGGATGCGTTGCCTTTCATGAGTCTCTGGTACACACAAAGTGGACCTACAGCAACAAGGAAGCGAATGAGAACCCAAGATGAATAAACCCGACCTATTCATTGTGGGGGGTGTCACCCACAAAAGTGATCCGGATTCGCACTAAAAGGGGACGACCTCCCTAATCACCCAAAGATTCTACGATCTGGCGATCCCATGGCTTCTTGGTTCCCCTTACCCAGGGATTTCCAACCGACTGTTAACTGATCCCGTGGGTGGCAACAAAAAAAATATCAACCCACAGTTGGCGTTGGAAAACCCCAGCAACGGCCAGGCCGCCCAAAATATGGGAGTTCCAAAGTCCCATTAGGCGTCGAAGTGTCAAAACCTATTGACCGATTTGGTTGATACCAAAGTGGTCGATTCATGGACCATGCTACTAGGCTACTCTCCCGCAAATTGATTCACGTGGAACCCACTGCGAGGTTTAGAAGGAAACTATGGGTGTGTCTTTTGGGTGGCACCCTGAAAGAGAGGGACAGAATCCTGGCAAAGTCCCGGGTGTATGGGTGCGAAGCACACTGGAAGCACTGGATACTGCAAATCACCATGGTTCGCGTTGGCTCCAGCCGATGGCGCTGACAAAAGGCATTGGCAGTTGAAACAGGTTTGGGCCATGCGCGCAACTTGCGTTCAACAGGAACAACAAAAAACTTAACATTTGCGCAGGAACAAACAAAAATGATTCAAAAAAAACAACCTGGAAAAACCAGACTTAACAAGTCATTGGTCTATTCGCTCATGCTCTGAAGCTCGGCATCATTCGGGCGAATGCCTCCAACCATCGAGGAATGTACAAAAGGAAAGCCATGCGCCGACTGCTGCCTGATCTTCGGGCCACTCGTCCCTGGCCCCCCAATCGGGCCCCTAACCAAGCCCCCAACTCCTCCCTTCCTGAGTGGATTGGTAAGAACAAGAACGCTATTATCCCTCCCCCCCCCAACCCCCCCCCCCCCTAGCAAAAAAAAAGTTACAACATATGCAAATTGCCTGGGTCCGCTAGTGGTGGCGTGAGCAAAAACAAGTCACCAAACTTTTTATTTCCCCTAAAATGGTGTCCGAAACGGAACTCGATCGGACGCCAACCCCCAACCTCCCCGGTCCCCAACCACCCGGAGCCCCAAATTTCCGGTCCTTGATGAAGTCCGTGGCGGCCAAAAACGCCGGGGAGTAGCCCAGGTCCAGGTCGTCCGGCATGTCATGGTTGGTGGGAGAGAGGTCGCCTGGAACTGATATTGCTTTCCCGCATTCTATCCTGGAAAGGTGAAGTGGGCTCGACCCTTTACGCGTGACCCAAGTTTGCAGGCTGGCAATGTGAAAAGCGGTCCCCACATGAAAACACGATTCAGGTTTTGCCGGAACGAATGCACCTCCAAGAATGGAAATTACAACTATTTGCATATATGTTCCGGACTTTTTTTGGCGATCCACCCGCCAGGGAAAACCCATGCGTGTCCTTTAAACATTAGCAGCGTAAAACCAACATGCAGTTGAGTGGCACCTGGTGATGAGATGAGTGACCACCTTCCCATCAAGTTTCAAATGGAACGAAAGGTTCAATTTATCACCACATCACGCCAACAATCCAAACCACCAACTAAGGATTGGCTGCTTGTTCACTCCGAGGACACAAGTGGCAGGTTGAACAAAACAGCTGACATGGCCATGGGTCAAAATCCCGTACCGCCAGTGAACATCCCAATCCCCACTAAAATAGGTTCTAAAATGGGTGGTGCACCTACCCCAAAATGGGATCCAGCCACATCTTTGCAATGGCATTGGGCAAGATCACCCTCGATTGGTCCGCTTCGGAGGCGTGACATGTTTTAAAAAACGACACAGCCAAATGGACCTTGCCCAATCCTAGCCCAAGTTGCCGCCTTCCTCAGGAAAAAATCTACGGAGCCTTTGCTTACATTAAGGCCTCTTCAGGCCTGAGCGAGCTTCCCATTAGGCTCCTGGCACAATTTCCCCCCCGGCCATAGCTGGGACGGTTTTAGGAAACCCAAACTCCGGCTTCTCCAGCCTTGTCGACCTTGAAAGGAATGAGTTTCTTTCGCAGGTTCAGGGATACCTTACATGAAAAACACCGATCGAACATTGCAGCTTGCAAATGGTGGTGTCCAACTTTGTCTTGGTGTTGAAAGAGCAACATGTTTCAAATGGTGGCAAGATGGAGATCTTTTAAGGAGCCCTGATGTTCTTCTCCAGCAAACCCCGCGTCGGACCCCTCAAAACCCCTTCCGCTCACATCCAATGCCCCGGCCTTGGGCCAGGCCCGGCGACAGCAGCCCCGGGCTGCCCGGCATGCGCACCTGCGGATCCGCACGGAAGTCTTCCCCGAAGTGCCCGCCTCGCGGCTTCTCGGAGCGTCGGAGGTCGGCCGGGCGGGCGGTTGGCGACTTTTTGCGGCGGGGTTCGGCGGGGTTCTTAGGTTGACCCCGGATGACGAAAAAAGCTGTTCATGAATCTCTGGCTTTTTGTTTCAAAGTGATGCATCCCCACTAAAACCAGGGACACCCCCATAATACTAAACAGGGGTTTATTGATCCGGGGTCAAAAGTACCGTGCAAAAGGGGAGCGAAAGGAGTGCTTGTAGCCTGCCTTGCCATACTGTGCATGGCTTGGTCGAACCCCCCACGATAAGGCTAATTACCTTCCAGGAATAAATTTCCGCGAGATAGAGTTTGTCCCAAAAAGACCCCGCCCAACTATGGATGGATTCGAGAAATCCATCCAACTAACCGGTCACAAACTCAGAAACCCTAGTTCCTGATACGATTCCCCAACGTAAATGCCAACAAACGTTGTGGTTTCAGCCATGAGGTTTCAAAGTGGTGCAGGATTTCGGCCATCCACAGTAGGTTTGGCCCCCTCTTTGCGACTTAAACTTCATCTGTTTGGCGATAAAGTTGTTGAAGTCAGTTTCCTTTTGGTGCGGTGATGTCACGGGAAAAACCTGATGGTTCCATAATGGGAAGAGGCTAAAGATAAGCTAGGCTCAAGACAGTCGCAACCCATGCGAGCCACGAATAAGTTCCCTTGCCCTTTTCCTCATGTGATTCCGTCAGCCCACAGGTTCGCATAGTTGAAGGACCCTAGATGAATCTTCTATGAAACCAGCAGGACATTCTACAGGAAATCCTTGTTCTTGGTGGGTGTTTGGCCAAATTCCTAGAAACATATTGTAGTTGGCTTCTCATGTGGTTCCAATGACCCAAGCAAATCAGCCTCGCATCTCTGCAGCGATTTTGCTAGCAGCCTCATGGCTCGCGAAATCTTCATCATCTCACATCTTCCCTCTAAACAGTACTTGGCCCAACACGCCAACGCCAGGGTATCGCAACTCTAGGCCTGTTTGGCTTCTGGCCCAATTTTAGTCAACCTTAAGACCTACACGCATTTCGGAGATGCAGATTAGAGGGGGGTCGACCCACGACCGATGAATAAAGAAAGCAAGAGGGCGGATATCACCGAATTCCGGCTGGACTGCTCCCTAGCGTTTATTTGCCTAAGCTTCCAGGAAAACATGTAAGTATGTCCAGTGATAGATTCCCTTTTGAAGCCAACAGGGAACAGAAAACACAATGCTAAGAAAAATGGAAGCTACCAAAATTGAACCCCAGGTGTTGCTGGTTTAGGACAAATCGCTCACCAGGGATCTGCCGTCGTCGCTTGAGGGTCAGCTCGCCAGATATGAATGTCAGAGTTTGAATCAATGGTGGGATGTGGCGCATCGAAGAAAACGGAAAGTTCAAATCAATCCAACATGTGCTGGAACATGTGGGTGGGTCTTTTTTGAGGGTGCCATTAATGTTGGGTGGTTTTAAAGGATGACCAAGGGGAAAGCACCCATGTGTCGCCTGGATGCCGAATCAACTTGCACATGTCAAGGCCCATGCAAACATAATCTCATCCCTCGAACTCCCACGGCACGCGCGGGCGGTGTGTCGCGCCTAGCATGCCCAGCAGGATGATACCTGCGCGAAACATGTGGTTCTGCAAAATTGGCAATTCTACAAGCTGGAAGAATAATGCAATCTTCATGTTAAGGATCTATAGTGGGCTCGTTTTACCCAAGTCTTCAAGTGATGCTTGATTCATACAGATTGTTGAACATGGGCGGGTTCCGCTTAGATCCCCTTGAGCAATCCCAAGACGGGCATCTCAAAATATATCTTGAGAAATGGTGCCCGTTAAAGATCACGCTAAAGGAAAGCCACCCGGTCTGGAGGTCCGAAATTGCGCATTTTACTTTACCCGTCTGATAAGCACACCCGATGCCGCTTGAACGGCGAGCGGCCCACGGAACATGGCTTTGGTCCGGCACTGGGTGATGAATGGGGGGGGGTCTGAGAAACCATATAGCTGTTTGGCACGTTCAACTCAAGTGCTTCCCACAACCAAGATGGTGGGATTGGATCGCCGTTGAAGTCGACTTCCCAAGACCAGAACAGTTTAACTCGGAGGCATTTGGGGTGAGTCAGCGACGCTCCAAATATCACATAGAACCAAGCGAGCTGTGGGGGGAAGAGTTCTCACCTGAAACTGGAAGATTTCAGTCCGTGAAGAAGTACCCTTGCCAATGCCACATAAAACCCAGGGTCGCATGCTCAAAAACCTATGTGAAAAGAGCAGCAAGTCAGAACCAAGACCTGTCAACCGAGTCTGCAAAGCACCTGGAGCGTGTCTTTTTTGAAGAGACCCCTTGAGTGGTATACATGGCTTTAACGGAAAACCAAAAGGACACCGAATTTCATGTGTCAAAATCCCGTACCCCCAGTGAACATCCTAATCCCCACTGTAGACTAAAATGGGTGGTGCACCTACCAACCAAAATGGGATCCCATTGGTTTTGACAACCACAGCCATGTTTGAAGACAACCCCACCAAGAGTCACGGGCCGGATTTTCTCGCCCTTTCGTCTTTTTGTCCACGGATCTCGACCGCTCCCCTCTGAGACTCTGCCAAGTGGCGCGTGAAGTAGCCATTCCTCAGCGGTCCAGCGGGCTCAGAGCCAGATTTTGAACATCCAATTGGCCCAAAATGAGGGTGATGTTTAGAGCCACCGAAAGGGATGGAGAACACCCCGCCCAAAAAGACGCCGTCTGACCCGTGAAAATCCAAGCGTGACCTCCAAGTGTTGATGCTACCTGGAGACCCGATCGGCACAAGGGGAAACACATGGCTCCTTGAAGCGAAACCGAAAGAAATAATACAGCAAGTACTGCAGTAAGTACTGTCCCTCCCAGACCCCCAGGATCTTCCCTGAAAAGTGTCCAGAAGACAGGATCCACTGCTCAGGGAGTCACATTAAAGCAGGTCCAGCATTAAAGCGTTTGACAATCCTTGGCACGCCTTGCTCTGTGTCAAAACCCAGCAATTCTCCAGTGGCCACGGGAAACAACTTTTCGGACTGGTAGTTAACTTTTGTTGAGTTTACAGCGGAACCACCTCCCAGCCCTTTCAACGAATCGAAACAAGGACACTTGGAGACCTGGACAAAATTCAAACCTGGAGTTTCTGGGGCGAAAACTGTGGGATTCCCATCCCTTTCACTGCAACTGGTCACTTGGCCAAAAGTGGGCTTCCCCCAGTGTCGCAGAAAGCGGTACATACGACCTCGTGGCTCATCTGGCATCCTGTCCAAGAGGCAAACGAGGGGGGCTAAGGGGGGGGGGGAGAGTATCTCTTGGGGTCCTCCCCTGCCCAGTAACAGTCGTCAAAAGGGTTCAGCCTTCTCCCCAAAAATGGGTTTCCGTCGTGCTTGGCTTTTGCGGTTTTGATTGTGGTCACTGCTACTGGGCAGGGGGGAACCCCAACTTATCTCTGGACAAGCCCAGGACAAGCCAAAGGCTTATCCCAGTGCAGCCATTTGAAGGACGCTATATCGGGCGAGGGGGCCTTATTAGAAGTGCGGCTCTCAGGGTATCAACTTGCGGGTTTTGGGGCTGAATGAACCGGGAGGATCCGGATCCTTAGGTAAGGATCCGGATCCCCAAAGCTGCTGATCCCTGACGGGGATTCAGTTCACTCCAGCTCGTCCCCTAACCGAACCAAGGGATACGCAACCCAAAATCGCCTGGTACATGCCGAAACCCTTTGAAACACCTCAAAGGCGCTGGTTCTGTTGGTTGAAGCAGCCTCCTCTTGGTAGATCCCGGTGGTTTGGAGGTGTTTCCCGCTTATCTTCCGCGTGAACCAGGGTATCAAGTCCCAATCCAAACCAGGCTCCAAGCCCTCAAGGGGTAGCCTGACCAAAGCCAAAAGGTTCCTTAGCAACCTCTCCTAGGCCCTCCAGTAGAGAGGATAGAATGAGGGTACCCTTTCTTCTGTAGTCTATTTTAGGGGAACCCTCCCCCAAGAAAGGGTGAGAAAGGGCACCGAGCTGGGGGACCTAGCCTCCAAAGATGATTCAAAACCACGAAAAGGGGATGCCGAGCAACTGGAAGCCGCAGCCCCAAGCTCCAAACCACTCCACCAATCAATTAGAAGCGGATTTCATGAGCTTGGAACCCTCCCATTTGCTCAAGTGGCCAGTTTTTTGGCGATACCCAAGAAAAAAACTATCCTCCCCAAAATCCGCCAGATGTTTTGTAAGGCACCGGGTTAAGAAACTGGAAGTCATCCTCTAGGAAGGTTAAAGGGAAACAACCAATTCCACTTTTCTGACTTTCATCCCCCCCTCACCAAAAAAAACAACAACATCATGACCCCAGAAGAAAAAAATGGCTCGGAAGACTTGTTGGTTTGCGGTGATATGACACAACACCTGCTCGTTTCCTAGCCCAAAATCCGCCGAGAATTTGTGGCACCCGGTTCAAAAAAAAAAAACAGAAGCCCAAACACCTGCTCGGTTCCTCTCAAATCAGCCACTTGTTTCTAAGCACCCCCCCCCCAAAAAAAAAAAAAAACGTCCCGAAGGCCAGGGCGCTGGGACTGCTGATCCCAGCCGTTCAGCTCCGTGGCATCCAGCCAATACGGCAGCACCGGGTTCTTGGCGTCTCGGGGCCTCGTCCAAACGAACCCGCGCATCCCGCGCCGAGATCCGATTCGAGCGAGGGGCCCGCCGCGGCGGGCGATGACACCGCCCTGGCGGTTTTTTCATCACCAAGAAGCTCAAACCAGGGGTGTTCCAAACAAGGTTCCTCAAACCAAAGCTGACTCAACCTCAGCTAAGGTTGAGGTTGTGTTAATCAATATTGCTCAAACAAGCTCCCTTTGGATATGTATGATTCTTCAGACTCTTGCCCAGCAAAATCAACCCAGGGAAGCCATTCCGGGTTAGCCTTTCACTCCCCTGCAAAACTGAACGTTTTTCCGGCGACTGGGGAAGCCATCAAAGATGGGGGGGTAAAAGGTCACACCACAACCAACTGTAAGAACAAAGGGGGGGAAAAAAACTACTAGATGGTTAACTACTAGAAGGTTTTGTTGGGTCTTCCAGTAGAAAGACAGGGATCCATGTATCTTTTAAGGAGCCCTGAAAGACCAAAGGACATAAGGCCCCATTTTTGCGTGGAGAGCATAGCTTCGCCTCTGGGCCCCCCTTTGTGCCCGACTGACAAAAACCACACCGAGTTAAGCCTGACGGCTGAGTTCGGAGAGAAAACGGCAAAGAGTTGTCCCCCATACCACCCCCCCCCCAAGATTTTGCGGGGAATTTGAGGCACGGGCTTAACAAGCATTGAAAGGGGTTGTGATGCGGGCTGGGACTGATCTGCATGATAGAATTCCAAAGCCGAAAGCAGGAACTGGATCACCCAGTAAAACTCTGTATACCTCCTGGTCAGCTCGTTTCCCGCCCGAATCCGTGAGCCCGAAAAGCCAAAATCGTAGATGGTTGGTTCCAGATTGTGCAAATGGGTTTGGCTTAAAGAACTGGAACCCTTCCCTCGAAACATGCGCGGTTTCCTTTCGCATTCCCGAAGTAATTTCGGAAACCAGTGGGCAGAACCAATGTTGCTTGAGGGTACCCCATGTTTCCGGGTTTTGAAGAGGGACCAAAGAAACACCGAAGCCATTCTGGGAGTCCGATTCCTCACAAAAACACAACTCGGACAGAAAGTCGAAGTCACCTGATATGCTTGCCAATGTCGGGGGCTGATGACCTGGGGAGGTCATAGATTCAGCGAAATGGTCCAGATGAAAAAGCCCAGGGCGCAAGGGGTGGAAGAACTTGGTGCCCTCGGGCAAGCTGTCCACAAACTCCTCAGTCATCTGGGTACAACACACATAATAGGTGTGTATATATATATATATATGTGTGTGTGTATGTGTGTGTGTGGATGTATAGTATGGGTATAACATATATATATATATATATAAATGTAGTGGTATATATGTACATTATATCTGTAACAAAGAACCTCAGATTGATTAAACAGAAAGATCAATACAAGAGCTAAAGCACAACCCCGACCAGGGGCGGCCAACACACCCACCCTCCTAAGAACCCCTAGGAAGCCCTTCTAAGGCTCTAAGATGTTCTCTTTGGTTCTTGGCAAAAACCTTTGGTTAGTTCACTATATTTAGACAGCCCTCACGCTATTTCAGACTTCAATTCACCAGGCTCGCTAGCAAACTGCCGGGCAACAAAGAGGACCCAACCTCTTTGTTCACAGGGGTTCCGTCAATGCCTTGGCACCTGCAATGGCACGTGCTGATTGCTGGAGGGGCGGGTGCTGGCTCTACCAGCATGTTCTTCGAGCCTCACCAAATGCCAAACCAAGAAGATCCTTCACTGCATCCAAGGAGGGCCCTTGATCAATCTTCCCTTGAACTGTTTCCCGCCGCTGGCATTTGAGCACCCTTTCCAACACACGAAAGTGGACAAAAACTATATTAGAAATTGCAAAAAATGGGCAATACCACATGCCCCTGAACTACGAAAATACGCTGAAATTCTGACATATGCACGTGGTATAGCCATGATTCATGCTTCATTCCAAGGGAATTTATAGCAGGGGCACATCAGGGACGCGTAGTTCTTCCTGCTTGACAATCCGGCCAAGTCACGTCACTTTTCACCGGAATTAAGGAAACCGCAAGCAAGGGGCGCGACAAAGGTAGATGTGTTTGTTTGCCTTGACCGCATACCGGCCAAATTATGCATGTTCCAGTAAAGGACCTAGATGATCGATGTGTCTTTTTTCCTGAACCACCCCCCTCCCCACAAAGAAAAAAACACGAGTCAACATGTTTTTAGTTGGCGTTCCTTTTGGCTTTCCTCCCCTCCCACAAGAGCAACATGTCAACATGCCTTTTACGTGGCTTTCCTTTTGGTGTCCTTTTCAAGCCAAGCTTTCACAGGTCCCCTAAACTCTAGGTGTTGATTCCCCATTCTTTCCAACCATCGTTCTTTCAGCCGTTTTTCCTGGGTTTCCGGAGGTTTGCTAGAAAAGGATCCCTGGAAAGAATGGAATTGGCAGCTTCCCTAGATTCAAAGGACCACCGCACTCCTGACCCCCACCCCCCCCCACCCCACCCCACCCCACCCCCCCAACCCCCCCCACCCCACCCCCCTCTCGCGTTTGCTCCGAAACCACCGCCGAGTCCAGTCCCAAGCGCCCGCTGCATGGTCACCGCCTTCCGCAGCTCCGCGGCCTTGTCCAGCACCTGGAGGCTTCTCAGCTTGCCATGGGGAGCTTTGGCCAGAACCGCACGCCCAAGTGGAAAAGGGAAACCAATCTTCAGTTTCTGACTTCATCATTTCCAGAGCCAAGAGCAGGAGCCTGGGGGGAAGCTGCCAATTCCATTCTTTCTCTTCAGGAAACCCGCAAAAGCGCGGGGAAAACAGATCCGGGTTGTGAAAAGAACGATGGTTGAAAAGAATGGGGACTCAACCACTCTCCAATGCCCTGAGAATTGGAATGACCCCGTCACTTCCGAACGAGTGAATGGAACATAGGGAACATGTGCAGTGCAGTTTTCATGTGCAGTGCAAATGTCCCATGCGTCAGCCTATTGCTCACTTTCTGAGTGGGCCCGAAAAAAGTAACCCGAACTTAAGTTGATGGCCGTACTAAAATTTTTGCCCAACCCCCAAAAAAGTGACTCAAGTCCGAAACGGAGCTCGGGAAGTGCGACCCCAAGTTCACACCCATCCCTTGCTGGCGGTGTCCGTTAAGGGTCCCTGCGTATCGCACCAGCACGTTCAGAGAGCTCGCTTGGTGGTTCGGAGCTGGTTTCGGCCCGGGCTTGGAGCCCGGATTGGTTACCTTTCGGTTGGTGTAGGGCTGTTTTCGTCTCTCGCCTTTGAGGCTACGGAAGCCAACAACATCTAAACCACCAAGCCGATTTGCAGCTTCCCCTTACTTGGTGGAGACCCCCGCCCAATGGCTTGGTCGTTTGCAGGGGTTTACCCTCAAGAGCCAAAGGTTGAACACCGAATCCAAGCCACCAATCCAAACCACCAATTGGGGGGTGCCAAACCGATTCAAGATTCGCCAAGCCCCTCAAAAGGGGAGCCCTTTTTGGCATCCATGTTGGAAGGGGGGACCCAGCAAAAAGGGAAAGAGGGGTGCCACTGAATCGGGATGAAGAAGCCCCTGTACCTCGGCAAGAATTCCGCTCCATGCCTTGTCACCCATCCGCTCCAGCTGAAGCCGAGTGAAGTACCAAATCTTCGCCACCTGGAATGCTGGCTTGGGCTTCAGAAGCTCTCCCGCCTGAACCCGGTCACTGGGGTTCCCTTTCCAAAGTTGCAATTTACGGGGGCTTTTCAGGATTTTCCCCTTAAAAGCTGCAATTTACTGCAAGCTAGCCATTTTGGGGTCTTCCGATTTTCGCGCGCTTTGGGTTCGTGCCGAACCCAGCGGCTCCGAAGGCTTGCATAACAAAACCAGCTGTGGGCTTGACTTGTTTGGAGGGGTTTGCTTGGATGACCACCCGAAAGATGTCTTTTGTTTCCCTTTTTTCTGTGGATGGTTGCGAAATCCATGTGGACCACCGTTCAGCAACCCTTGGAATATCCTGGAATGATTCGGTGCCCCCTGCAGATGCCAACAACCGTTGTGGTTTCAGCCGTGGCTTCTTAGGTGGTGCGAAATGGATTCAACAGGATGCCACTGATTGGAACGCCCGAGGCTCAGTGTCAGTTGCTGGGCATTTGCCAGCCAACACCTGTGGAACGTGAGTCGCCTTCCAGGAGGGTGTCCAGGAGTTCAGGCAATCTAGCAACCCCCCACACGAACCAAGGAGGAATAAGAACAATATCTTAGAAAGCCCTAGTTCTATGATGTACACTGTGTCCGGCCATGACAAGGCCCACTGGCATCTAAGCAGTTTGCGGGGATAAAAGGAGACAACCCCTTGAAGGGTGCAGCCGAAAGCTTTGCAGCGATAGCAACATAAGGGTTGGGTATTTTGACTATACCTCTACGCGCAATGCGGCGAGCTCCATCCATTGAACAGGACCCTCCGTACATAAAAGGTCCACACCCGAAACAAGCACCTTGCTTCATTCTATGGCAACTGGGAGCGAGCTCTCTCAGTAGAGAAGTTCGAATAAGAGTACCCTTTTTTTCTGTAGTCTATTTTAGTAGGGAAACCCTCCCCCAAGAAAGGGTAACAGGGCACTACTGGGGGACCTAGAAACCTTCTCACCTGGCCTTCCCAGACCCGTCTCCGGGCCTTTTCTTGAGCCAGGTACTCCTCGATGGAGGCGAATCTCCTGCGAGATGGCCAAAACACACGGCGATGGGCAAAGTCACTGGCCCACCATCTTCATGTGGAGCGTGGACATTGGCACTGTAGCTGTGGATGGGCGAAACCCATTTCGCACCACCTAAGAAACCTGGAATGATAATACCACTGTAAATGCCAACGAACAATTGTTTCCCATGGTTTCAAACTGGTGCGAAATGGCAGGATTTCAAAACCATCCACAGTATGGCTGTGCCATCCGATTTCCAGAGCCTTTCCTTCAGCGAATTGCCATTAACGCCGGAATTTTGGGTGGTTCTCGAAAAAGAAGGATGGGCGAACGTGATGAAAAATCAACCCTACCAAACCCTAAGCCTTGTTCATTGCTAAGCCGCCTGTGGAAACAGACCGCCTTCAAATCGCCAATCCATGCAGCACGCGTGGATGTTTGCTTCTGGGCCCCGGGCACCGGTGAAGGCCGCTGATGGGCGGCCTTCCCCAGATCCAGTTGCCCCTGCTCTGGAAGGTTATGCACTTGTAGGCATGGGTGTTTCTGCGATTTGTACCCCAAATCCACTTTCCCCTGTACTTCCCCAAATTTGCACTTCTGGTGCTTGCAGGATGGCGTTGCTGGGTTGCAACGGCTGGATCTCGCATCAGCGGCCAAGCAACTGCCACCAGATGCGAGGCAGTTGAGCTGCGGATGCGCGGGCTAGGATACAACTGGACATGAATCAAGTTGCAGGGTTGATGGCCTCCAACAAAAAGAACAACATGGGTCGCTTGTGGCATCTCTTGGCGGACTCCACGTTCAACACACTTGAGAGGATAAAAGGAACATAATATTTTTGAAGCACAACCGCGCGGGTATATCATCCTACTGGGTTCTTTGTCTGGGCTCAAAGAAAGTGGGGACCAACCCGCAATTGTCTCAACCACGGCTTTACGCCCACCCCACTTTCCAGAAAACTGGCACCCTAAGCTTCCTTCACCCTACCCACCCACCCCAAAAAAGAAGAAAAAACAAAAGCGTCTGTCTCTTTCTGGCTTCCCTGCCCACGAAATAGCTCATGATGGAAGGGTGTGCAATTCTCCCTCTCTCTCTCTCTCACGCTCTCCCCCATAATGCTATCCCACCGGTCTTAGACTTGGAGCACAAGGTGAGCCCATGATACACCATGTGTGTAGATCATTTCGCCCCTGTTATTACCTTTGAAACCCGTCCTGACCACGTAGCCCCGGGCCACCATCCGGTCTTCGTACCTAAATGATGCAATCCGAGCTTCCCCGAAGCCAAGAACTCTTGGGGCGCAGGAACCCTCTGACGGGCAAGCGAAGCTGTTGACCCCCCTACAAAAAGTGGACAACATTGTGGGGGTGTAGTGGTAACACCTTTATTTCCCAAAAAGTTTAAGTCTAAAGATCCCACCCAATAGCAGTCAAGCAAAAAAGTTATCAAGGCAAGCTAAGTCCGGCAGTGGATTCCAAAAACAGGAAGCAGGCAGGGCGCCAATGCAACAAACATTAAGAAGAACGGTAAGCGTCTGGCAATCAAAATGACTCAAAACAAGGAACCCCTTTCAAAACAAACCCCCTTTTTTTGTGGTCCCAAAGAGTGATGAAAGTGCTTGAAGCTGGGGAGGAGAGCGAAAGGGGCATGAATGGTTCAAATGAGAAAAATACATTCTGCAGGTCAAAATGAGGAAACATTGTGGAAAAGCCAAGGGAAAGACACTGATAGCAAACACAACTCTGGTTGAAATGGGAATCAACAGCCAAGGCGGTCAGACTCAGCACGCAGTCATGCGGCATCTTGGGGAGGGCGAGCTCAGAGGGAGCCACCAGGTCCACAAAGACCTTCCGGTAGATCCTCAACCGCTCACTTAGCCAGTGGCCTGCCAAAAAAACATGTACACTTTTTTCGGCCATCCTCAACCGCTCACTTAGCCATTGGTGCCTGCCAAACAAAAAGCGTGTACACTTTTTCGGCCACGACACGAAAGGGGAAGCCAAGAAAAAAGTGCTGCCAAAAAAACATGTACGCTTTTTTCGGCCACTAAAGGGGAAGCCAAGAAACAAGTGTAAAGGACTTGTGACTGGCCGGGTGAGACGGATCCTGTCCCCGTGAAACCGGCCCTTTTTATTGTGGACCTGATCCAAGGAGCCCCTGGGGCCTCTGACTCGTAGGCCCAACGAAGGATCAGCCAGAGATCTGTCCATGCCCGGCAAACATGCGCCTCCAATTCGGTGACTTGACCTGGTGTAGGTCAGTGGGCGACTTCTCATTCACCCCCCAAGAAGAAAGGTTTTGGGGCTGTTCTAACTGGGATGTCCTCAGATCTCCTGCCAAAAAAATCACTTTTAGTGGGTTGAATGGCAATGGCAGCCCCAGCAAAAAAGTTAAAAAGCTAAGGGAATGGCTGGGAGCCACCGAGCTGCGCAAACGCCGAAGTCGAAGCCCTTCTAACTCCCAACCCATGTAGTTGGTGTGTTTGGTTGCCTGCCACCCTTTAATCATGGAACCTGACAGGGGTTTGGAATACATTTTGCTCTGGAAGGGAGGAAGGGAGAGAAGTTCGTGGCCTTTTCAACCCCTTCACAAGCTTGCAAAACACTGTCTGTTTTGTTCGAGGCTCATTACAACCGAACAAAGCACAGCAAGCAAAAAAACACAACACCAACGGCAAGAAAACTGAGATGCACAAAGGCAACGGACGCAACACAACAAAGGCACACACACACATGTGCTTGTTTTGTATTTCTGTTGTTTCCTAAAACAAGATAGTAATATGTTGGTTTACACAAAAACAGGAAAGAATAACAACAACAAAAGAAAACATGCCAAGACCCAGGACGAAAACCCCGGCCCCTCCCGCCCGCGGTCGGCCGGTTGAGCGGTCCTGAGGCCGTCCACCTTGGAGTGTACGGTTCGGCCATGGAAGAGATCACCGATCAGCGCCAGGTGGATGCTGGAGGTGTCCCAACCTGGCAAAAAGTCACAAAGGAAAACCTAAATACCTAAGACATAACTAAAGGATACAAAAGGGAAGCTCTGACATACCTAAATAGGCTAGCTATTTTCTGTAGGTTGGGGAGCCCAAGAAAGAGCCCTAAATGGAGGTGAAGCCGCTCGCTTGGGCTCTTTCTTTGACAACAAGACGGTTCTTTCTTTATTTCTTGAATCGTTCCTTTTTGTTTGGGGGGGGTAAAGGGAAACTAAAAGGACACCAACAATTTTTTGGGGTCCACCAAAACAGGCACAGCTGGCATTTCAGAGGTTCCCCAAAGAAAACTAACCTTTGTAGGTTGTGGATGCCGATCTTTGAGAAACACCCATATGTGTGCTTTCAACAGGGCCTCCCAAGACTACGCCCGATTCACCGCTGCAAGGATTGTGACATGCACATCCTGCACATAGCACATCCGGAGAACCCGATCTTTGGGTGCGCCTTTTTGTTGAGGGCTCCATTTTAGGGTGGGTTTAAAGAGAAACCAAACGGAAAACCGTCAAACAGACCATGAACTCGCTGCAATCCTGCAGGTGGTCCTAAACCCATCCAAATATTATTGACACCCTCTTGCATCGGCCATCTTTTGAAAGTATGATTTGGACGAACAAGATCATTTGGTATTTGCTGAGGAGGCTTTAATCCTCCTAAGCCATGGTTGCAAGTCCCCTTTTCGCTGTTCATACCCATGTTTACCAATCACTTACGCGAAGCACCGACTGGATCGCCCCGTGAAGGCGCTTTTCAAGCCTGACAAAGGGGCACCCCCCAAAAAAGCTCTTACAGCCCCATTGTTTTTATGAAGTCACCCCACAAGTGGTAGGTTAAAGGAAAACAATCCTACATTCTGACTTTGAGAACCCCCAGAAACCGTCAACATCATGAACCCACTCTACCCCCGAGAAGGCATCGAACAACCGCGTGCCTTTCTGCTCCAGAAAGCTAAACTCGTCCAACATCTCCTGGGATGGGTGCTCGTGTCGGCCATCGCCTGGACCACGAAAACCCCGCGGAGGTTTCGCGACCGCAACCCAACCAACGGTGGAACCAGTGATTTGAACGGAAGCAAACAACTGGACACCCCCCACCCCACCCCTTGTCAAGTGGGTGTGAAGGGAAACCACCTGAACAAAGGGGGGAAACAACGGCTGCCAATGAACCATTGGGGAAGGAAATTGAAGGAAACCCTGCTCGCATGGGCGAGGAGCCGCTGGCTATATAGCCATTGCAGCCATATAGCGCAAACATGTCTTCCGTGGACATAGCATTGCTCAAACAATCTGAGCGGGAAACTCGAAGGACAATGCTGCAGCCACAATCGTTGAAACGGCCCCCAATCCCATTGTTTTCTCTGCTGTCCAACCTGCTTCTTGACTGCCAGAGTGATCTAGGTGAGCCAGGCCAAAGAGCAAAAGCAAATCCGCCTCCGTCCAAATCCCCAAGGCTGAAGCTGGTTGGATCCCCTTCAGTGGTTCAGTATGCAGTCTTCCAGTAGTTCACTGAACAAACATGCTGGACCTAAAGATCCCTATGCAACTGTTGACATGTAAACCCTGCAAAGCTGAGAGCTACGCCCTTCAGATTCACATGGAAACCCAACAGAGATGTCTCAATACATGACGGGAGGTTCCATGTTAGCTGGCAGAGGGGGCGAATAAAAGAAACGCTCCCAAAAAGACCTCCAAAAGGCGTCTGAATGTTTGCACCCAAAAAACCACAATAAAGTCCAGGAACTCTGAGATGAAGGCATAGCCACATCGACGTGTCTCGAACGGAAACCAAAAGAAAATACCCCTGCACAGATTAATATGCAACCCAACAAGCCCTTTTGGGGACCCCCCCCCCTTCGGGTTGTTTGTAGGGGAGTATATGCAATTGGTTGTCCCCCACTGTGTATGGACGAAATCCTGCACTACTTTGAACGCATGGGAAGCCATTGTTTGTTGGATGGGGGATCATCAGAAACCAGGGTTTCTTAGGTGGTGCGTCATGGACGTGCAATCATCCACAGTATGTGGAGAAAACCCACATCCATAGGTGTCCTTCTAGGGAAAATAGATAGCTCTGGATGATTGAACCACCAGGTAAACCAGGAATCGCCCTCTATTTTTCTAGCCAAACAACCAAAAGGACACCTATGCCACGCTGTGAAGCTATCTTCCAGCCACCCCGCCTGCATTGATGAAACTGGCGCGGGGGTAGCCCCGCTGCCGGCAGTACTTGGTGATGGCCTCCTCCAGCCACCGGCAAACACCCTCCACCTGAAGACGCCGACCGAGTGGATTCGCCCAGAAAGAGTTCAGGAGCTTGTTATGTGCCACCAAAATGTTCTTTCCACAAAGTTCGAAGTCCATTAACTCAGGAAGTGAACTTGGTTGCTGTAACGACCCCTCTGCAAAACGTTGTTCACTTCCTGTGGGTCGAGTCCAATTCTGAAAACAAGCTTCAACCAAAAAGCTAGAGTCCCAAGATCCAACCTACAAGCCATAACGGAGACTTTGGGTACCCTTCCGCCAACAAAGGATCCAACTAAACAAATAAACATTTCTCCAAATTGGTTTCGGATTCTTCCTTTGGCCCGTTTCCTCAGGAAACGCAAGCGTGTGTCTCAACATATAAGTCCGCCAAAAATGGGGGGTGGTTTTCCTTTCGGTGACTCTTGACACCAACCTTAAAGCGTATTCTCAACGAGGGACTGGACAAACACACAAACTCCCACAGCACTAGCACCAAAGCCAAGACACATAAGCGCCTGCCCAGTTCGCTACACATGCCATCTGAAGCCAAACAACGCATGGCCACAGGTGAGCAGGTTGCCCCTCCACGAGCCGTAATCAAAGCCTTATACCAATATATATATATATATATGTGTGTGTATCTATGTATTTATATATATATATATACACACATCTTTATTTGTTTTGAGTGAGCCTACCCCAAAAAAAAAACATTTAAAGAAGTAAACATAGCGGATAGCGGATGCACCTGTATGTAGCTGGGACGGCCCGCAAGTGACCATGAACCCGCCTTTTCCCAGGTGTTGATTGCAGCTGCCGTGAAGCCAAACATCCCTAACGCATGTCTAGGAAATCAGGCCCCAAAAGGTCCGGCTTTACATGTATGTATACATCTACAAACATATTAAAGCCTAGGCAATGGGTTTGTCTCCAAGTAGGAGGCCCCCCCAAAACAAATGCGTGGTTTCCCTTTCCGACTCAACAAACGGATCTAAACTTCCATTTGCGTTTTCGCCCCCTGGAGAACAAAAACATATATGTTCAGTAGTGGGAGATTCCCTTTTCAAACCAACAGGAACATAAACAATCATGATTTTAGAGTTTGCCCAGCTTGCTTCACTGTGAGGCACGGGTAGGATGTAAAATGTATCCTAAGTCTACCCCAGAAATCATGTCAAGCAAATGGGAGAAAACGACCTGCATATATGTTCGATAGTGACAGATTCCCTTTTAAAACCAACAGGAACATAAACAGATAATGCCAAGCAAATGGAAGTGACAGGTTCCCTTTAAAAAATACACCAATCATGTCAAGCAAATGGAAGTGATAGAATCTCTTTGAAGACCCGCATAAAATTCACAAATCATGTCAAGCAAATGGACGTCAACGAGCCTCTGGGAGGCCTTGCCTTGGAGCGGATCACGAAGAGGCTTTGGCCGGTGGAATAGCCACAGAGCATCTTGATGGTGTCCGTGATGGTCTCGTTCTTCCTACCGCCAAAACCAACTGTAAGAACAAAGGGGAAACAAGAGAAACTACTAGATGGTTAACTACTAGATGGTTTTGGTGGGTCTTCAAATGGAAAGACAGGGATCCTTACATGAAAAACACCTGAACATTGCAACTTGTCAATGCTGGTTTCTCGTTATTTTGGTGGAAAAAGCAACATGCTTCAAATGGGCAAAATGTATCTTTTAAGGAGTCCTGCAAAACCGGTTCCACGAACATGCTACAAAATGGCTAATCCAGCGCTCCAAAAGCGCGAGGAGAGCTGAGCGAACTGTTGGTTCCAAGAACATGGCTTGCAAAAGTGTATGTTTCCCTTGCTATGGCCCATATCGAACTGGGTGCTGGCCCATGGGGAGTTTGGGGCACTGCTAAAAGAGGGTCTCAAAAGCGAAGCGAGCTTGCCCCTTGCTTGGCCCATATCGAACCAAGTGGACCGAGGTAGGACCACCTACTAAAACGAGAAACAGGCCTCTTGTAGTTCCAATGAGCCGCTTGTTTCCAAAACGTCCTTCTGGGGGGATTTGATCACAAAGACCAGCCATGTCGTGGCTTCAATTGAAAACAATCGCACAACATGCGGGCTATTTACTCGGCCCTTGTTCGGGATACTCCGAAAAATGATATTGCCCGATTCTTGTTTATTTTTATATATATATGGAGATATTCCGCATACCCTTAAAAACCCATTGGGATCGGAGACTCCTATTTTGAACCCCTCACCCAGCATCCGGCTTCCCAGAGATCTACCCAAAGCAAGGGCTTCGGCATCCATCTCATTTTTCTCTTTGTGGGAGATGAAAGTAGTCTCGGAATGGCTTGCACCATAGGCATGACGGCGGGCTTCGGGCCACGCCAAGCTCGGAAACGCCCTTCCCTTGAAGTTTCATTTTTCGGACAGACTTCGGTTGTCCAATTTGAGCTACTGAGCCAGCGCAATAGGAAAGGCGATCTCCAACCTGCTGGGCGAGCACACTTTAGCTTTGTCAACACGTCACGTCTTGTGGAACATGGGGGATCCCCAAAATACTCCGCCTCAAGAACATGAATTCTTCGGGTATAGGGCTAAAACCGTGCGAGCCTTAGAGCCAAGCCTGCAACAAGGTGAACCCCCCTGTAAAACGAAGCCCCCAGAGATATTCCATTTGCGATTTGTGCACCTAATTTTGGAGATAGCTCACATGCGAAGAGGGCTTAGCAGAGGTTTGCTGAGTTTTCTCCAGGTACGGCTCAAATTAGTCATATAGATTGCTAAACAGCTTTACCATTTTGGAATTGACTGAAATGGGAACGCACCATGGTACAACCACACCTCGAAAAACCATGGAAATCGCAGTCAATCTCGGCAATTCAAACATGCATCCGGGCAACACACACACACCCAGCAGTCAACCAACCATCCAACCAAAAAACCAACCCAGCCAGGCAGCCAACCACAGCCAGGCAGCCAGCCAACCAACCAGCCAGGCAGCCAGCCAACCAACCAGCCAGGAGGAAATCCAGCTGCGCAGTGTGTCTTCGAGCTCGAAGAGCGAGGGCAACCCTACCCGTAGGGTATACCGCTGACGTGCTTTGTTGCACCCCGAGCTCCTCCTCAGCATTGCCTGCATCACCTGCACGCAGGCCGGCCCAAACACTTGGACCCCAAGACATCCCCGGCCTCCCTGGCCTTGCAACGGGCTTCTGATGCCACATTGCCCGACCTTCAAAAAACACTGTAAAAACCGTGCAGTCGCCAGCATCCCCGCCAACATCCTCTGCATCCTCGCACCGCAAACTTCGCCAGCATCCCCGGCACTCCCTGCATCACCAGCATCTCGGCGTTCCAGCATCCCTTACATCCCCTGCATCGCTCAAACCCTTCAAAGATGGCCCCCCGAGAGTAGGTTTTGGCGGTAGGCGGACATGGCGGGCAAGTCTGCGATCGAGTGAGCGGCTTTTGTTGCGCAAGCGGCCGCCGCCGCTGTGCGGAAAACATCGCGCATACCGTGTTGTTTCTACATTTTTTCACCGGCTTCTGTGGGGCTGGGGCGGGCTGCCGGGGATGCATTTTTGGTCTGATTGGCTTTCGGTGTGAGACACGTGCGGCGCGCGCGCGCGCGCGCCGGACGCAAGCGCCGGATGCAAGCAGGCACACATGCGCTCAAGCTAGGGTGGGTGAGTGCATGCTCCGTGTCAGGGGGGTTGGGTAAGAAACCTTGCAGCCTCTTATGGTGGGTTCGCAGCGAGCGCGTGCTTGGGTGGTTCGGAGGTCAGGCTCTGAAACAAGGTCTCGCCCAAACAGATCTCACCTGTCCGACCGGCCAGCCCAGCTGGTGATGGCGAAGCCTTAGGCATGATGAAATAAGCCCAGATCTGTCCGAGGCACTGAAAAGAGGAGGTCTTGGCATCGAAAACGTTCACCTTCATCCCGTGGAACTCTGCGGCGTTGCCTCAAGCTCGATGCTGACTGATCCAAGGCCAGGGCATATGTACATATATTATATAGATATATATTTATATATATATATATATATATTTGCGTATTTATTCACTCAGTGCAAACAATGTATGCATGTATATCGTCACACTCTCCCTCCATGATCCACCTTTCCACTGAGGCGGATATACAGATGTACATATACATCTACAAGCATGTTCATATGTATCCCCATGAGGAAACTGGTAGTTTCGGAATATGCATGTACACATATTCTGCACATATGAAACCAATACCCTGTATGTACTATGCATATTGATGCATGGTCCCTTGGAACACTTCTGCCCAAAACCAACGGCCAGAAGGTACGACATTGCCCAGGCTGGCCATGGGAAAGAAGGGCAAGCTGATGCACAAGGTCCAGCTTGCCCCAAATTGCTGCTTTGGATTGGTGGTTTGGTGGTTCAGGGGTTTCCCGGTTACCCTCTACAAGGACCAGTGGTTCAAATCCCCAAAACACCAATCCAAACCAAGTGTTGTCTGACAGGGGCCCACCCTCTCCAACAAAAATAGGGGTTGAGCACATCCTGCAGCCCCACGAAAAAAATGCATCAGCAAAAGGTTACAGGGACACCATCCCCAACTCACTTGCTGAGTGGATGGCCCAACAAAAAGTCCAAACTTTACATTTACCACTAAAATGGTCTTCCCAAAAAGTTCAAAGTTCCTGAACTCAGGAACCACCACCACAACGAATTACCTCAGCTCCCCCCGGCAGCCAAAACGTGAAAAACCCATAGCTCACATGCTGCTCATCGCAAAAAACCGACCCATGGCTCTCTTAGAGGATGAATCCCGCGCGGAAAACAAAACCACGCGATACTTCTATTTGCGTTTTCTCCCACCTGGAAAAAATGGGGAAATGTTTCCAGTAGTGAAATCGAATCCCTAAACCAACATGTGGAACAACTATTTTCTCAGATGCCCAGTGGCCATGGGGAAAAAGCGGGCATCTGTTTTTGGTTGGTTGGTTGGTTGGTTAAAAAAAAATCACGCATACTCATTTCAGCACATGGAAGCAAAACGGGGATCATCATTGAGCGGAAGTGTACCACTTCGGTTTTCCGAGGCGCGGAAGGACTCCTTGGTGCGGGTGGAGTCCTCCATGAAGATGGTGTACACCGCGGACTGCCAGTTGGGATGCCCAAGGAATCCCGCTGAAAACGGATGGGCCAGCGGTTGGTTCAGGTAATGTTGCGACGCCATATGAATGAATTGACAGGCGGGGCGGGGCAGAACCCCTGCAAAAGTGGCCTGCAACAAAGTAATAAACTGGGGTTGATTCATATGGGGTCAACATTAAATCATTAAATGCCCAGGTTTGGGACCATGCCCAGGCTTGAGACAATTTTCCTCAGGGGGGCTTTCTGCTGCCATGTTTGGTGTGAGAGTATGCCAAAAACATGGCAAGGTGGCTCGAACATCCAAGTGTGGTGGCTCACTGGAACGCAGCAGAAGGTTGAACCTCCCAATATCAGGATTCTATTGATTGTACTGGGGAAACGAGACCGTCAGACCTCCTTTTGTGCTCACAATCTTGTGATACAAACCTCAAGCAAAGCCTCTTCGAGGCCAGCGTGTGGTTTCCCTTTATATAAACTACCATGTCCTTAAAAACTCATTGTATTGTAGCTCCTTAGCTCCTTCTTTAAAGGCAAACTGTTTTGTACCCCTAGCTCCGGAACCAACCACCAATTAATAAAGAACAATACCACTGAAAAGAAAGTGAGTTAAAGGACAAGACATGTCTCCTTTTAGCTCATGTTGGTTTACACCTGCCAGCGCCTTCAATCAAATGCTGCAACCAACCCCTGGCGACCTCGGTGTTGTGGAGCCGGAACTTGTCCAGGTCCACCCCGGTGCGGATGGCCTCCTTGAGTTCTCCTCAAAAACGCCAATGGGACCTGTCTCTTACTTGCAACCCTTAGGGCCTGGAAACAAAAGGTGAACCAGGCATAGGTGGAGTCGGAGGGAAGGAGGGAAGGAGGGAAGGAGGGAAGGATTTAGATTCAACATCCTTGCAACCCTTAGCGACACATTTTGGGCAACCCATTTTGGGCTTCCCCAGTTTGACCCACACCCACTTGTTGTTTCCCATGAAAATGGTCTGCCCATGGTCTGCCCATTAGGGAGCTGGAAAAGGGTGGACCAAGGGATCGGTTTGGAAGAACTGGACCGGTCATCAATGGACCAACCCGTGAGAAGAAAAAATCACAAAAAAGGAACCTCGATCGAGCCACCTTGATCCAGCCACCAGGTTGCCTGTCAAACCTGTTCACGGAGCCTTGATTGCGCCGCCAGCTTTCCGAAGAGTGGGCCCAAGCCTGGTGCCATGTTTGAACAGGTCCGCCCAACTCTGGTGCCGGCCAAGGTTCTTGTCTTGTGGTATACATACCACTGCTCCTCCAGCGACAGGTCGTTCACAATCGCAATCTGGGCACATGGGCGCGTCTGAAAATCGGACCCCCTGGGATGTAAACCACCCCATGTCGGATTTCGTTGAAAAAGAACAACAGCGTGTGTGTCTTCTTGGGATTCCCTGTAAACCCCGTTGTGCGGGGTACCTCTTGTAAGATGCGCCACTGGCCAGGGACCTGCGACAACTTCCACTCAGCTTCCAACATAACCCCCCCCCGTTGGTGATCCACGACCGCAAATCTGAGCCACCATTCCATCTCCTGACGTGGGAAACTATGGCTACAAAAAGAAACGGACCACTTGAGCCCAAGCAAAGTGGGGGATTTAATCGGCAAATTGAGCAGCGACCAAAACCCATTCCTGAACATATTATGCATGTTTGGGGTATGAGGCTTCTACATAAGCGTACAAATATACCACAAAGTGCTCTTATTTGTAAGGCAGTATATACCCCTCATACGGTGGATGCCCTAAATTGCAAGTAAACCAACCACATCCAACCACAAACCATGGGAATGTGCAACGATTCCTTTCTTCCCTGCTTGCAATATTTAGTGCATCCACAACATAAGCGGGCCTTCCAACCCTTGGTATGGTAGCAAACCACTTTGTTTTTGCAGAACTACTACAACACAACAGAACTAAACAACCGAAACACCCGAAACAAAACAAACAACAACAACAAAAAAAAACACGCCCCATCCGCCGTGTAAGTGGTATATAGCCCCCTTTGACGCCGAGCTGAGTGGCCGTTCGGCCCTGGAAGGGATGCTTCCTCAAGAAGCCGCTCTGCTCCCTGCGTGCCAGCAGCCCGCTCTTCGACGCCATGGCGCTCCAGCGGCGAAATCCGCGTCGTGTGTGGTGTGTGTTGGTTTCACTCTCGCGTCTGGCACTGCTGGCCTGCGCTTTTGCAATGTGTTTTGTTTGTGTCTGCGGTTGTGGCTTGTTTTTTTTTTGCATTTGTTCTTTTTGGGGTTGGCGCACGAAAGAACTCATGGAAATGTGGTTAGCCACGTGATGGAAAACATGTAACGCCCCCTGCTCCTTTCCCTGTTGAGCAAGGCACTTGGAGCGAGCATTGATTCCAGCCATGGCACGTATCTGCAACAGCTGACCTGGTCAGCTTGCATTATAAGCATGAAACCCCAAACAAAGGTCTTCCAAAAACAGGCTTCTTCACAAAACGAAATCCGAAGCAAAATGGGTCCGTCTCAAAATTCCAGTTCAACCCCAGCAAAAAAGTGGAACGCTTTTCTTTGGCTTCCCTTGAAAACCGACCAGAGAATTCTGATGCAACTCGGAGCCCTGTTTCGTTCCCAAAGGTGGGGCGATTCAAAACGGGACGTGAAGGCTGGGACCAGAGACCAGGAATCACCAGGAGACCCAAGGGTTGCCCTTTAATCACCCTGGGTTGGTCTCCCCTTTTAGCAACCCAAAGCAGGATATCCAATCCACTCACACGCAGAGAATCCATTCAAAAGTAATATGGTCTTCATTGGGGGCCCTGTGGGGTGATCAAGCACTGCACTACACATCCGCCCGTACAAAATAAGCGCAACACGAGGCTCAAATTGCTGCATGTTAAAAATAGGTTGCTCCCGGTTTCATCCTTTAACAAATCAGGTCCAACTTGTGTTGACATAGTGTGGATGGACGAAATCCTGCAACACCTCAGAAACACTGGAATGATGTATTCCCTGGAAAATCGCCGCAAACAATGCTTTCATCCATGGTGTCAAAGTGGTGTAGAATTCCGTCCACCCACCGTATGCTCGGGTGCTGTAGGTCCCCCAGGAAAAGTTATGCTTTTTGCAGGTTAAAGGGACATATGAGGGGAATCCAAAAAGTTAATTAGTCTAAAGATCCAACCCACTAGCAGTAGAGGTATGATTGGTTATCCATTCCAAGTCCCCAAAAAATGAGCAAAGGCCCCGGTGCCCGAGCTAATCAGCTGTCCAGCGCGTGCGCCTTGCAAATGCCCTCTGCGCAGGCGCCCACCATCCTGCCGATTTCTGCGAGACGCGCCTCGTGTTGTGGAAGGCGAGTGGTGAGCACCCTAGAGGGGTGGGTGGGTATGATGGAAGTCAACCAACCACAAACCATAATATAGGTTACAGGCGTGGGTGTCCTTTTCGTAAAATAGATGGCCCTGGTAATTGGAATGCAACCCATCTTTTCCCTGTGCCCACCTATGGTTACAGGGTTCCGCCCAGATCAAACTGAGAATATGCATATAGAGAACCAATCAGTGAGAACTCGTCCGGCTTAGCATGCAGTAGCCTGGAACTAGCAAATGAAAGACTTGGAGTTGCTGGAAACTGCTGCAGCTCGAAGGGTGATTCAACAAAAACACCATCCAGACCGCCAGTGGCCATGGGACAAAACAACAACCTTTGTTGGGTACTTGATTGCCCCCCTTCACTCCTCCCCCCCCCAAAAAAAAAGAGTAATATTCAAAGCGCAACACGAGAGGTCTGGGAACATCTGCAAACTGCAGCGCTGTACCCATGGACCAAGTTGCCCGCCGATCAGCTTCCCTCGGTTTGCAGGTTTGCCGGGGGTAGCTTCCCATCTACCCTCAACAAGAACCAGGAGTGCAAATCCCCGAGCCACCTATCCAAACCGATTTCTAAGGGTTACCTGCACCTACGCGCTCAGCCAAAACAGAATGAACAAAACAACAAACCTGCACGCAAGGCAACATGGACGGCGAAGCATAGCCTATATGTTCACCCCAACTCCAAGTTTATGGTATGGTTGGATTCACTTTGCTTGGGTGGGAACCCAAGCATTGTCTGAACGCTGGTAAAAAGGCCAACAACAACATACACATATGCTTCCCTAATGGGCATGACAAAGACATTTCTTGGCTTTGAGATAGTTTGAAGTTCAAATAGTTGGAAAGTGGCGGGATCCCAGAAGTGTAGCTTTCCTTTCGGCTTCGCTGAAGAAGGAACCTGAGAAGGATTCTTCAACAAACGCGCCCGCACACGTCCAAAGGCCCACCTTTTCCGGCCCATCAGTCCACTAGCTCACCATTCCGGTCCTTCCAGCACAGTTCCGCGCCTTGCAAACTTCGAACGGAAACACAGAGCCAAGAGGCCAAAGGTGTGTCACAAAGGCCTAACTAGTTCTACAATTGTGTTGTGGGATACCTCAAAACCGATCTAGTCATGATTCTGGGAGCAAGCAATTGGTTTTGATGTAGGCGCTTGTAGGCTACCAAGTTCGGTTGCAGTTTTGCTCAGGGTGGGTGGAGTTGGCTTAGGCTTGGAGAGGGAGGGCTCAAACTTCCCGGAAAAAAAAGGCAAGAGTTCCCTTCCAAAAAGGCGATGTTCAAAGCCACTGACAAAAAGAGCGAATGTAGGGAGCCCAAGCTTTTGAGAAGGGTTCTCATACCTTTTCTGGAGAGAGATTGCAAGAAGGCCCAGAATGACTCTCATTGAAACTGTTGGTTTCCAGGTGTTTGGGTTTTAAGCTCATCTTCCCCAAAAACAACATCCAGATACGGAAGAATCCAATTTTGGCATTTGACATTCCCAGGCCTCAAGCGGCCCCCACCTCCCTCACGTCCATTTCTCCATCCCCTGCAAAGAGAAGCTTGAGCCACAAATGGCTGGCTGGTGCTCAGGGAAGGAGCCCTATAAACCATCCCTTGAATGGGCTTCCTTTAAGGGCATCCCCAGGGTCATTCCCTCATTCCCTATCGCACCAGCAAGATGGGAGTTGTCTGTTTTCATACCTGTTTCGATGTTTCGTGGAATGTTAAGGAAAGCCGAAGGGGAAACCACCGTTTGGAGAGTTCCTTCAAAACGACAGGCCCAAACGGAGATCCCCACGAAAACGCATTCCATTCACCGGTGCTCGGGACATCCGTTCAAGGCCAGTGGATTCCAAAGACGGCCGTTTTTCAGCCATCCTCCAAAACGGACCGAAGGATAATCCTTTTTCGGGGCCTGCGGGCCATCCCCCTTCGACCGCGTGGCTTTGCTGCTTGGTCTTGGGATCTTGGGGCTCCGTTCGGCGTCTGCCCCCCGGCCTTCATGCCCATCGCCAGCACCCGGCTTTGCCACTCGCTGATGCGGCCCATGCGGAGAACCTGATCTCGCCGCTCAGGTCGTCAGCTTCGAAGCATCCGCCGAAGGAAGCTGACCGCATAAAAAAAAAAAAAAAACTATTTCCAGTAGTGATAGATTTTCCCTTTGAAACCAACAAGGGAAAATTAAACATATTCTTAAGCAAATGGAAGGTAACTGTGTAACTTGTAAGCCGGTGTCAAGGTGTTGGGGGGTACAAGCCCAAGTTGGCTAGATTCAGAGTGATCCCGTGCACAGTCGCCGAGTCCCAAATACGCCGAAAGAGCGGTTCATTGTTTTCACGCTAGCCAGAATCTTTCAGAATGGAGCATGGGGAAAACTACCCCTTCGCAAATTGCAATTTGCTCAGGGGACTCCTTGAAACGACCCCAAAGAGATCAAACACCAGACCTGAAGCTACTGTGGATGGACGAAATCCCTTCGCACCAGCTAAGAAATCAGGGGAAACCAGAACGTTGGTTGGTATTTACAAGAAAATCATCATTCTAGGCTTTCTTAGGTGGTGCGAAATGGCCATGGGTCAAAATCCCGTACCCCCACTGAACATCCCAATCCAACCACTAAAACAGGAAACTAAAATGGGTGGTGAATTCACCAATCCCAACCAAAAAGGGATCCCAAAACGGGTTTGACCACCACAGACAAAGGGATTTCGTCACCATCCGCGGGCTTGGGGCCCCAGGCTCGGCGAACCGCGGCATTGCTCAAGTCCACCTGCCCGGATGGACCGGTCCATCGGATGGGTTTCGGCCCGCCAGGGCTCTGCTCAAAAGACCTGGAAATACCGGATCCTGAAGTATGGCGGGTCAAAAATAGGGCAACCCCAAACTGGGTTGCCCTGGCAAATGGACACAAAGACTAATTTCGGCGGTCCCCTAGTGGCTCAATTCGGACCCATGCGCATAGCATGTTGCTGACCCCTCTGCCAAAAGTTGTCCATCTGTTGTGGGTCCAAAGGACAAAATCGACCTGTTTCCCAAAAACTTATAGTCCAAAGATCCAACCAAATAGCCACATGTGCACAGATATATAATTGGCGGTTTGGATTGGTGGTTTGGGGTTACCCCATCCCTTTTGAAGTCAACTAGGGAAGGAACCCCCCATTCCAAACCACGCCAAACCACCGAGAGCGGTAAGGCAACTTTTGGCTACTTTCGAGGCTTGAGAAGGGCGGACCGAACGCTGGCTTTCTCACCTGCCTTCTTTACAGTCCTCACAGGCATCGCCCGCTTGCAAACTAGGAAAGTCAAACTCATGAACTTTCAAAAGGCAGAAATGTGTGCGTCCGGGCGATTAGGAACAGCAGCAGGTTGCAATTCCGTCCAGGTCTCATGTTCCAGATTCTAATTGGGAAAGGGCATCATCAAACCCACGTTCCAAAATCTTGCCAGCCTCGCCTAGAAGGGAATCCACCAAAACAGCAACAACCCGCGCTTCGACTGCTGCTTCGTTGATGTTGTTGCGAAAGGGAAACACAACCAAACAGGGATCCTTACCTGAACATTGCAACTTGTAAATTGTGGTTTCCAACTTTATTTTGGTGTTGAAAAAGCCATGTTTCAAATGGTTGCAATGTGAATTTCTTTTAAGGAGCCCGCCAAAAGAGGGGCACATGTAACCAGAGGCAGGGGAGGTTCTTTCTGTCCAAGGCCCAAGGAGTCATCAGCCCCAGAACCTCTGTCAGGGCACCCAGATGACCGTCCCGCTTTGGGCCTTTGACACGTCCTTGGACTCCAAGATCCTGGCCACCAACGCCCAACCCCCCCAAGACACACCTCCACTCCAGGTTTGGTTGAGTAAAGGTTTGCGCAAGAGGTGTGGTTGGCTGATCAAGTGTGAGAGTTTGTAGGGAGAATCGCGCTTCCTGAGTGGAATTGCATAAAACAACAGTCTGAACTTTTTCCCTCGGGTGTGTTCTCGCCTAACCCAAGCCTGCTCAAGCAAGGCCAACTCGAAATTCCCGTTCAAGTCGCGGTGAAAAGAAATCCATGCGACATGGTAAATACTCCGCTTCCAATCTTCAGATTGCTTTTATGTTTGTCGGGCCAGTAAGCCCGCTCCAGCAATGATCACTGACTCTTAAACAGAAAACGAGCCAAGCAACTAGGATTTGGAATCCGACTGTGCTGGGCTTCCTTCCATGTAATGTAAGCACTGCTCACGCTCACGCTTCGCCATGCACATCAAATGTGGTTTCTTGATTGCCAGCCGAACAACTAACATGGAACGCACAGAAAAATCCCTTGCCTTTCAGGAAACCCCGGTCAGGTTCCGCGTTGGTGGATGGGAGGCAAGTTGCATGACAAGACATCCTCCAAACTCGAGCGTGCCTTCGACCAGGACTCTGCCTTGCTTGAACCCTTAAACCTGCGTGCCTGACAAGACTCAAAGGATCGTCAAAAACCCGATACCCCCCCACCCCAAACAGCAAACCGATAACTATACCTGCCCAGGGCTGCCCCTTGCTCAAGCCAGAGCTCTTCAGCGTGCAGAATTGGAGTCCCCAACACCAAAAAAGAAGACTCCCCCCCCAAACAAAAACAAACACCGAAAACATATGATTGCTCACTAGTCAACTACCTTCACCATGTCAATCCACTTTCCTTTTCGGGTGGAAAGGGATCGCATTAATTACTAATTTCATCTAAATTCACTGAGACGCAACATGGATGTGTCTCAAAATAAGGGGGGCCTCCCCCCATTTTTTTTTAAAGACATGGTCAGCCCCGACAAGGATACCCTCCAAACATGAGAAGCTCATCAGTTCCCCTCCAGTTGGTGGTTTGGGCTCGGTGTTCCGGGGTCCCAATTCACAGTCCACAAGACCCAGTGATTCAAATCCAACCACCAATCCCACTCACCAAATACCACCCAACCAACCACCAAGCCAACTATCCAACCAACCACCCAACCAACCAACCAACCAACCAACCAGCCAGCCACTCACCCACCCACCAACCCAACGTGAGTCCCACGTTCGGACTGTCGGTCGGCAATCCGTCCTCTTCAGCTCCTCCCAGCTCATGCCGTGCGCCTCCGCAAACCTCCGGGAATACAAGCCGGAACCAAAAGACTTTGTCAAATACATCCTTCACAGCCAAAAAAAAACAAAATAAACACCACAACAAAAGCAACACACACAAAAAAAAACAAGAAAACACACACCCACACACAAAACAAACAACAAACCACATATGCCGTGAAAAAGAACGAGGGGGGCATCCTTGGGTTTTACGAGAAAAGATCGCGCAAAGTCGCACGTCTCCACTGGCCCTAAACCTATGGGGCTCGGTACCGTTTCTCTTGTTTCTGTCTCTTGTAGGGGAACCCAAAACCCCGAAAAAGAAACGGCAAAAGGGCACTACTGGAAAACCTGCAAAAAACCCTCCCAACATGTGGAGACTTTCCCGTGTCTTGGCCAATTTGAACTTCTTATGCTTCTCCAAGACCAAGCCAAAACACTTGTCACCAAGGCCACACCAAGCAACACTTTGGAGAATAGGCAATCAATTTCAGGTTCAATTGAAGCTCCCCACCCTCCTCCCCACTAGCATGGAACCTGACCATTTGCCTTTATACCCCGGCCTTGCAAAGGGGAACGAAGGATGTTTCACCCGTAGGTCCTGCGAGCATACACTAAACTCCCAGACCAGCAAGGCACTGTGGCTTTTGGCGGCTGAATTGAAAGGGCAACCCCTCCCAAAACAGGTTCAGCAAATCAAGCACCCTCCGGGTGTCTGGGTTAAATTGACCCGACGAATGATGTTTAAAAGCACCGAAGAGGGGCATGTCTACAGTAGCCCCACGGCCCATCCAACGGCTAAAACGTGCGGCTGAGGCGCATGGTCATCAGGGGGATGGCATGCTGACGGATGGGCTTTCCTTGCAGGCGCTCCTGGGCGCAAATCTGCGCAGTCTGCGCCGCCGGAAATAAGGAGCCAGTCTTGGGTTTATTGCAAACCTATAACGGAAATCGAAGCCGGTTTGGGTGTTCCTACTTTTTAAGACACGCACATAAACAAGGTTCCCTACATCTACTACTTAAAACGCCCACACCAAGAAGACACCCACTGTGGGCCCACACCGCACAAACGCGAACTAGGGAGACCCTTGTCAAACGACCGAGCTCGCGGTCCGTGAGTCCCAGCTCCACCTATTCACTGTCGTTGTTGCGACCTGCCTCCAAAAACATTGGGCTCTGGAAGCAGTCGCAACCCACGAGACATGCAGCTGGTCTCACAAAGTGGGGCCCGATTTCCCTTGGGCCTCCGCAAATCTAGAGGCGAGGAGGTTGGATCCACAGCTCTCCTAGGGGGCGGGTCAGCGACCCGGTTACTCAATAACCAAAGGATTGGCGTCGGCGGGGTCGGCATTTTAGGAGGGATCGACAAGACAACAACAAATACGACCGCAAATACCTGTGTCGCAATCCAGGCGGTTTGGCTCGTGGCGTTCCTTAAGCACGACCCATCACGACCCCGCACAGGTTGACCTATTTGGAATGTTCCTGTGTAGTCCTCATGTGCGTAAAACATGTTGGTTGAAATTAAGCGATCCATCATGTTTCATGAGGTCGCGCCCCGCATGGGCGTGACACTGCAACCCAGCAAAAAGGCGCATTAACAAACGCGTCCAAGAACTGGGGGCGCCATTCCCTTCCAAACGTGATGAACCCCACTAAGGGGACCCCCGCCGTAACAATCAACCAGGGGTTTATTAATCTGGGATAATCTGGGGTTTCCATACAACCAGAATCTCCCTCATCTCCTGGCAACTAGTAAGTTGGCACACCCAAAACAGTTCTTCGTCGGCCTTGCTTCTATAAACTAAGAAAACCTGGTAGGGCTCGTTGTTGCATGCTAAACGTGCATTCAGCAACCGGCAACCCGCATTATCTCCGCTCAAAAAGCCAAAGCAAAAACGCCCAGGTGGTATCCCCCCCCCAAAAAAAAAATAAAATAAAACAACTTCAGACCCCCAAAAAATCTCGTCTGCTCCAGAAACCACCGAGGAACTTCTGTGAGCAAAGCCCCCCAATTTTTTGGGCTGGGCAAACCGAGGCGCCATGGTCAGCACCTGGCTGCGAGCGAGGGGACTTTGGGGTTCGCAGCTTGGACCACGTTCAACCCGAAACCTAATTACTTGGATGTTCGGCCGTTCTTGTGCGTGTTTTTTAACCCCCCAACCCGAGTAGTCCCCCTAAGGCCAACCCTAGGGGACGAAACTGGGTAACTTAGGTTACCAACAACCTGGACTAGCTTGGCCGAACACCCAGGAAAGAAACACCCTCCCGACATGGAACCAGGTCTCTGTCGGAAATTGGTCGCAACCAGCCTGTCAGATTCAGATTCTATGTTTGGAGTGAAAACGTTTGTTCAAAGGCAGGTTACCAAACCTGGGCTGTCCAAACTGATCCCCTGCTAAAAGTGACTGACCAACTTTTCGTGGGCTCATGGAAACCCAACCACTAAGCAAGCTACGGAACCGGATGGCTGAGAGCCACCAAGTTGACCCAGTTCCTTTGGCTCGTTCACCCAGCCCTCTTCAAGCTTCTCAAACATGCCGTCAGCTCCTAGGGTCAGAAAAGTGGAGGTTGTTGGCCACACGCAGCATGTCCCCCCAGAGAGAGGAAAAAAGCAAGAAAAACAACTATTTGCAGAAACTAGGGACGCGAGCTTGAATCCGAACTTGTAGCACCCTTGAACCAATTTGATGTTCAACGTGTGCACACCGAACATCCACATGGCCGTAGGGTTGTGTGACTTGAATGGACTGGCTACCAATCTTGGAGCCAACATGGGTGTGTTTTGCTTTGAGGAATTGTTTTTGTGGGGGGGGGGGTCCCCTAAAAGAAGTACCAAACACTGCGGTTGACACACGAATTGGTTACCAAAACTCATCGACTGGTTTGCCAAGATGGGCACGTACACTTTGGGTTTCCTCGCCACATGTAAGTTGTGCATTATGCTCTGAGAAAAAAAACCGAGCTGAAACGGATGCGCAGAAGACACAAATGCCAAAAGCCCAGGTGATATCTCAACAGCCCTGGAACCCGATGGAACCCCTCCCCAAAAGCCAATATGAAGGGAACCAAACCAAAGAAACAACCATTTAAGTACAAGTGAATAGAAATAAACTAAGACACATCGGTTTTTTCTCGTAGACACGAAAACTGAACGGAACCAAACCAAAGAAACATCCAGTTAAAAAGTGGACATAAACAAATAAACAACACTAAACCTGAACGGCATCAACCCAAAGAAACAACTAGCTCACAGCACATGCCGAGAAACGGTCAGCAGAGGCCCCTCGGTCCGGGCCTTGGCGGTGCAAAGGCTCCCAGCCTCCGGGCATGACGGGTGCTGCTCATCGATCCTGCTCGCTCCGGGAGGCCGGGTGGAGGCTGCATCCAGTTTTCGGTTGTAAAGGGGAAAGGCCCAACCTGTTGACTCAATGGCGAACAGCTCAAAAGCTCAGCAAGGAAAGAGATGCTCATTCCAGCGCCTGAAAATACTTGGCCAAACGATCAACAGCCAGCCAAAGAGCAAATGAAGGTTGGCCAACAGGCAGGCCAATTTCCCGTGTGGCCCACAACCCAGAAGCCACAAGGCTTCGCTCGGCATGTGCATAGTCACAAGGCCGCAGTGTCGCCCCGTTGCGCATCTGCATAGTGGGCAGGTACTTCGATGTGCCCTGATGTCAAGACATTGGAATGCCGCTGGAGTGGCTCATGGGCACTGAAACCCCGCAAAACAAGCAACAAGTAAAGCCACACTTTGGGGGGGGAGGTCCCATAAACATCACCCAAATGGGTTCCAGCTTGCAAAGGACACCATGCGGGCCAAACTTTGGCCCAGGCCTAGGGTGCTCCAAGAAAACCATATGGTGTAAAATGGCGTGCCTTTTTTTGGAGGGTACCCAGTTTAAGGTGGCTTTCAGGGAAAGCATGAGGAACACCACCACTTCCATGGATTGAAAGAGACCCCAAGGATTCACGCCCCAAACCCTGACCAATAAAGCTAGGTTCCGGGTGCCCGGCGGCAGCGGGATGTCGATGTGCTGCCCAAAGTTGGGCCTCAGACTTGGTGCTGTGAGGCAATGAGCCCTTTGACAATGCCCCGACCACCCTTCCGGTGCACCAAATATCCTCAAATCCGCTGAGTCATTGAATGGTTTACACCAAAAAAACAAGCGCCCTTGTTGCCCGATAATTTGCATTCCACAAAGGGTACCCTCAAACGAAAACACGCCCGGATGGATTCTATCCGTAAAGCTACCTCCGCACATGTCTCCACAGGACGTGTTCTGGGGATGTCGGGTCCTTGCAAACACGTGTCGTCTCAACTGCGTTGCGACCCCGCCCCACCACAGAGTTGCCATCATCCTGACACCATGGCCGCAAGAAAGCTTTCTGGCAAAGGGCGAGCAACTTCACTCTGCCTTTGGCATTCAACATCCTCAAACAAATTCAAACAACATGATATGTCGTTGATTCTTGCCCAAATGTAATGAACCATACTCTGGATGTGGACCACTTCGAAACCATGAAAAACCATGAGTTGTTGGTATTTACAGGCAATCATCATTCCAGGGCCTCATCATCCACAGTAAGATGCAGACTAATTTCACAAAAAGAGCCCAGAAAGGCGACGCTGAAAAAGCCGGGGGCGGTGATGGAACCCGCGGATCGACAGGCATGCCCGCGAAAGGGCGCCCAACTCCCCGCGCGAATGGGAAGCCACCTGACCAACGGGATTCGGGTGGCTTTTTCTGATATCCCTCCCGTTCTAAAAGGAAGAACAAAAGGAAAACCATCATCCTTGGCTGGAATTAGGACCCCAGCGAAAAATATATCTTTTGCCTGGTGAGTGGAAAACAAAGGGAACGAAAAAGAAAAAAAGCAAAAAGGGGAGCTAATTCTGGAGAAGCATTCTGGGGGTCCCCTAAAGAAGACACCTCATTTACAACCTGGCGATATTAGAAGGATCTTGGTTGGAAGTACTTGGGTTGACAACCCCAAGCCTTCTAGCGTGACAGAAGCTTTGGTGGCGATCGGAACCGGTTGGTTCCCGCTGAAGGGGGTCCCCTCGTTACTTGTCGAGAACACGGAAAGCGTATTCTCAGTGGCTGCTTCATATGTGCTCTACCCTAAAATGGTCCAAACCCAAAAAGTTTAAAGTCCGAAACGGAACTCAGGGAGTGAATACTTTGCAATGATTGGTATGGTAGCAAACCCTTGGTTTTTTGCAGCCCCCCAGGCCAAACGACCTTGCAACACGCTAACAACGGTTAATAATATCACATCGTTTTGGAGACCGAAGCCAGGAGTCCCACCCCTCGGATCCAGTGACGGGCGCCGGGCATGACACTGTCAGCCACCTCCCGCATGATGTCTGCCTAACCGGCTTGGCTTTTCGCGGGGTGTCCCCCCGCTTTTCGGGACGAACTTCATTCATCCAGCATCCCCGCAACGTTGGGAGGGGTGGGCTGCGCTAGACACGAAGCTTAGCTTCTTGCAAATCCACTCAGGGTGAGATGATCAGATGTTAGCTTGCAGAGACAACCATAGACGAGTCTGGGGCGCTGACCTGACGGGCGTGTGTTGGCCAAAAACCCGACCCTCGTGTCTTGGTTGCTGTTGAGCCCCCTGCAAAAACAAGTTTTTAACTTTTTGGGGGGGTTTGGTGGAAAACCTAACTTGATTTCCACCAAAAAGTTAAAGTCTAAAGATCCAACCCAGCAGTCAAGGTGTTCCAACTGCGCCTCCGCAGTGAAGTCGAACTCCTGCTTGAACTGGGCCTGCAGCAAAACAGGCCGATGGCACCAACTACGGCACTCCGGCTGGCGAGCTCTTTTTTCTTTTTCTCCGCGGGGAGTCTACCAAGCAAGACACAGATGCGTGGATTTTCATGGGAAAAAAGCACACCTTTTTTTTGTGTTGGTTGAGATTAAAGGGGAACCCTTACCCAAGAAAAGGAGAAAAAGGGCCGATGGCACCAGCTACTGATGGACAAAATCCATTTCGCACCACCCAAGAAACCCGAGAATGATTTCCCTGATGCCAACGAACAATGGTTTCAACCATGGTTTCAAAGTGGTGCAGGAATTCATCCATCCACAGTATGGCACTTCGGCTAGCGAGCTTTTTTTTCTTTCGCGAGGAGTCTACCAAGCAAGAGGAAAAGGGTGGAATTTCCCTGGACAATAATTTGAACCTCTTGGGCTGACTGAAACAGCATGACAGGGTTGCTACATCCAAAAAAGCACTTTTGCAGGGAAATCACGTTCCTGCAGCAGCTGGCACAAGTGCTCAATTTTGACCAGAAAATGCGTAGGGGCGCTCAAAACAAGGAAAGCCCATTTGAGGTGAAGAGGTCGATAGGTTTTGGACATCAAGTGACCAGCCTTGGACCCAGAAAGTCAGTCCCGCCGATCGATATGAACCCAATAAGTCGGGCGCGCCGACTTAAAAACAACGCGTAACAGTCAGATGATATCAGGTGGCCCCGACTTTCTGGGTCACTTTGGCTATGAATAGCATGGATAGGCATGGACACCCAAGACTTGGCCAAAGAAACAAGTAGAATATAGTGGAATTGCCGATGAAAGGATTTATAAAGCCTTTGACCCCAGGCCTCTGCGGGGGGGGGGGGGGTTGGGGTGAGGGGGGGGGCCTTCATTTCTTGAGATGCTGGAACTACCTGAGCTGTTCGAAGGGTTGATTTGGTATGTTTGTCGGTTGAACCCGCTTTGTTGCGGGTTGCGTTGACACGACGCTCTGCCGAGCTATCCCTCTTAAACCAAGAGCTACCTGTGACTGGTCAATAGGAACCTCATCCATGCTCAAAGGCAAACGGGAGAAACGCTTACCGCTTACATAATAAATTGCGCGTGGCAGTTAAAGAAGCTCGGCGGAATCAGAAGGGAGCCAGTTGGCAAGAAGCAGATCCAACCAGACTCCCAGTCAGCTGGAAGCCAGCTTGCTGTTGGTCGCTCTTTTGAAGCCTCCACAAGTCCCTGACGGGCCATCTGCTGATAAGCACCCAGGTACCCTTACAATTAGCAGGATCCGGTCATTGAGGATCACCTGAATGGGTTTAAAGGAAAGCCCCCCATCCATTCCTAAATCAGCCCATCGTATCCTTCTTTACTTAAGGGTTGGCTTAAGCCTATCAACAAACGCTAATAATAGGGGAAGCAAAGAACTGATTTCGGTCTTCCTTTTACATCTCATTTCAAAGCCCATCCCAAAGAAGGTTGCCCTTGAACCCCAAACATAGAACCCGTAGTCCACTTCGAGCAAACATGCTGTCCGCAGGCTGTATGGTTTCCCAAATTCCCAAACCCCACGCCCCCAATCCATTTTCTGCCTGCTTGGTTGCTGTTGACCCCCCTGCCAAAAGTTTAAAATATTGGGGTTTAGTGGAAAACACCTTTATTTCAACCAAAAAGTCAAAGTCTAAAGATCCAACCCAATAGCAGTCCAGCCTGAATGGTGGCGAAGATCTCGTTGACTTGGCTGCCCATGCCCAGCAACTGCAGCGCCTGAGCCGAGCCGCTTCCGCGTGCGAAACCTGCGCCAAAACGCGTGCGCCCGACAGCGAGAGATGATGGGCCCAAGAGGGGGGTCCACCAACATCCAGTTCTGACGAGCCAAGGGTTCTACAACTTTGTGGGGTCCTTGATGGCCTAGTTCAAAACAAATATCTCTAAAACAGCTTTCAAAGTATGGGACGTTTCAAGATCTCAAATTTACAACCCAAGCAGGTTCTGGTTCGCTCCTGCACCTCCCATCGTAAACTGACAATGGCCCACACAGTCAACAGGAACGCTAATCTGCAGGAGGTGCGCCTTGTGGAAAAAACCGGGCTCCCCCCTTGAAAGTGTAGGAAGCCATTTTAAGGAAGTCCCTGTATTTGCCGAGCACAAGCGCCAGGTTGAAAGTAACATTTGCGGGCACGGTGGCGAGCAGCCAGGTCTACCATGTCCCTAAGGACTCCAATAGGTAGCTCCTTCGCTGGCCCTTCAAAAGCCAGTTTGGATGCCCCCGGTCCTTGGCCCCCTTCCAACCACCAGCTTGTTCCTTTCAGCAAAAACCACTCACAAGAAAAGCTGCTGTCAAGACATGGTTGGAGATATGCCTCAGTTATAGAACGTATATATATATATTTATTTGCTTCACTTTGAGTCACTGGTAAAATGTAAACTGTATCCGAAGTCTACCCCAGAAGAGCTCAGGCATGTTTTATCAAACACATCCCTTGGCGAAGCATTGGACAAGTCCAACCCGCCCCCTTCTCGAAATGGAACAATCTCCCCCTGGTAGCAAAGGTGGGCCAAAAGGAAACTGCATGTTGCCACTTAGGCAACGGACCCATGCCAAACTTGAGAAACACCCAGATGCGGCTCGCCCGACTGAGGCCCCAGGCAAAAGACACTGTGGCAACCTGAAAGCCCGCGAGGTGAAAGAGCAAGGATTGGTGGAAGGGGCCCTTTCAACCATACTCCCTCCAATGGATCGAGACCGTAGATCACCAGCCTTTGTCTTGTTGGTTGTTTATACCGTGCACGTGGAGGTGTCGTATGCACCTGGGTGCTAAAAGAACCAGGGGGTCTGAAACAATGACCAAACCCAGAAACAAACAACACCCATACGTACCCAGCCCATGTACATACCCATCCCCTGTGCCTCGCGTACAAATCCGTTTATCCTGGGGGGGGCACCTATTTCCCAACCGAAAAGCGACAGGCCAATCATAAGTCTACACTTCAAATTGATTGAAATCTGGGAAAAGCCCTGTCTCTTGCAAGGCAGAACCTTCAGCTCCTCGCCTCTTTGCCTTTGGCTGTTGTATGCTTGGATGCTGTAACGACACCTCTGCAAACAGTGTTTCACTTTTTAGGGTTCAAAAGGAACACCCGACTGATTTCAAACCCAAAAAATAAAGTCTGAACATCCAACCCAATAGCAATCAAGTATTATACCCCGGAATCGGTGAGATCGCCATAAAATAGGCAGGCAACTATGGAACTGGTGCCTGTGGATGTTCTTCAATCGGAAGATCCTCTGAGCGGTTTCAGGCCCCAGCGTCCATCTGGAAGAAACGTTCAACGTCCGGATACTGGACCTTGACCGCCACCTGGCGTTTCGGTTGGATAGCCACGTCGTCCACACCTCCATTTGCTTAAGGCCCCTGGAAAATGTTCCAGAAACAAAGACCAGTCATGGATTCCCTTTAAAACCAACAAGAGTAAATAACACATACTCTTAAGCAAAAGGAAGCACTGCCAATTTTCATGCCCCGGGACATGGGAATTGGGTGACCCCCACACAGGTTACACCACTTCTGACAGAGCTGTGGGCATCTTCTGAGGCACCAGCCCTCATGTTGACCCTGGCAAGGATGAAATTTGAGCGTTTCTGTTAGGGGAACCTCCAATAAGGATTTCGGCTTGCGTTTTGACCTCCCTCCGACCAAAAGGCTTTCGTAGCGAACCGAACATCAAAAACTGATATTGGTGCCTTCAAGGCTCAAGCGTTGTGGAGTTGTGCGAATTGGGGAAATCCCTCTTGGTTCCTATCCCTGTTTGCATTCCTGAAAAAAAAACACGATTCCCTAATAAAGGACTTGCATCATAGCGAACTGGCATGGGAATTCATGTCCACCACTGAGGTGGTTTTCACGAATTGTTGGGCATATTGTGCTCTTTGTGTCCCTTTCCGGCTTTAAACCTCACCTGGCCGAAAGGTGCAGCGTGTCAGTGAGCGGGCTGCAACTCCCGCACCTCCGTGCCGTCCTTCAGCCGTGCAAAGTGCACCTGGCGCGGCGTTGGACCCCGTGCTCTGATGCTACCCGCACCGCACGGCGGAAAACGGGGTAGCCTTGAAACAAAGGGGCAAGGGGGGGGTTCTCCCTGAATGCTTGGCGAAAATCAATCAAAATGTAGATGAGCATGCATCTCTTAATTGAAACCCCTTGGGTCATATCCATCTTTTGTCAGCAAGTGGAGGGTGAATCAACAAGGGCCATGCTGGGGGTCTACAAAAATGAAAATGATGCATCCCCCTGTTGGCTGCTTTGAGGGCAAGTTGGGCTTGTCCCAACATTCTGCCCTCCCCCCCCCAAAAAAAAAGAGGGACAACAGCTACGGGTTCCTTTGGGCTTCACCCGCCAAAAGGATGCCCCGAAAAACGAACACACCCAAATCAACCATGGGCTTGGGGGTTCTTCTCCCCGAGCAACAGGTGCTGCATCCTTTCGGCCCAAATATGCGCAGACGTGTAGGTTTCAGGGGAAGTTCTGCTTAAGCCGACACGCCCGAAAGTTGATCCTGGTGTAGTATGTTGTTCGTAGGTTTAGTGGCAAGCTTTCGGAACCACTCGGGCAAAGGAAGTAGAAATAGAAGGATAACCCTTTAGGAACTTGACTTCATGTGGACCAAAACAGGACAACAAAAGGCAACTTCAGGTCGATTCGCTCTGGGCAAATGAGAACATGTTCTTTGAAGGCTTGATGGAAAAACCCTTTGTAATTAAACCTCTTCCCTGAAAGTCGAACACGTTTAGTGGTTTAGTAGCAGTTCTACCGCTAAACCACCTAAAAGCCACAGGAAACCTAAAAACATAAACACCTAGTGTTGATTTCAATCAACCCCAGCTTATGAATAGGGGGTGTTCCCCTCCAATAGTGATGATTCACCGCTAAACCCAGGGACACCCCCACGAATAAACTGGGGTTCATTAATTTTGGGTCGGCATTAAGGACCCTAAGCCCAAAGCCTATGGCTAATTGGGTGTGTTTGTTTTTTTGGGCAGCATGTTGGGTGTAAAAAGGAAACCCAAAGGAAACCGCAGCCTGTCTTTTTCTTTTGGGGGGGTACATTTCACCCCCGTACCATAAGGGGGAAGGGGGTGGGGGGTCCTCAATTCCAGTTGCCTAGTCTTCCCTTACAAAGGAAATGGCACCATAAATGGAGATCTCCAGGGGTCAGCCCCCTCTCCCAATTCCATATATAAGGGGGTGGGGATGAACCGAAGGAACCGGATGGGAACCGCTCGCCTGGGCGATGGAGGCGGCTGCAACGGCCTCCGGGTCGAAGTCTTCGAAGACTTCGTCTGGCGTTGGGCGTTGGGCGGGAGCGCGAAGTCGAAGCGAAGTGCGGGGAGATCCATACTCAAACGCTCCCGATTGATTTTGGTCTGGGTAAAAGGAATTGTCCCAACAGAAAAGGATCGAATGTTGGGTTCGATCCAGAAAACCATGTTGGGTGCTTTTGGGTTCGTTCTCCCACACCCATAAAAAATATTATATTTGTTGGGTCGCTGGGAAACCAAAAAACAGAAAACCACTGAAAAGGTTCCCTCAGTTTGAGTCGAAGCTCTCAACATTGGCAAACATGTCAAACCAACATGAAATCCAAGGATAAATTCCTTCGAAAATAGGTGCGTTTTGGGTTATTTCCTTTTTTGTTTTCTTTCTGGAGAGTAAGTCAAGGGAGATGTCAGCAAACGATGACCCAGAAGTAGGGAACCCGTTTTGGATGGCTTTGGCAAGCCGCTATCAATTTCTACGGTCCCAAATTTTGAGAATCCGTTTGAGCCATGGTCACGGCCCATCCTGATGCAGCTTCTCGATTTGTTTCACGGGTGTGGTGCAGTCCTTATTTGGGTGTGTCCTTGGTTGGACGTTCGGTTGCGGTCTTTCAGTGCAGTCTCTAAATCAGAAAACCAAACATGTGGTTTCCGTTCAGATTGCATGCGGAAAACCAACCCAAACATGACAGGCTGCCAATTCAAAGCGGCACACTCGTTGAAACGAGAAACACGTTTGGAGTCCCAAAAAGAGAAATGGCTCGGAAACCCGAGCCATAAACCGGTTGTGGCCCATGATGCCGCACATGAGCATGTTCTCCCATGCAACACAAATTGCGACTGCCAAAAGCCTGGGAGAAATGGTACTTTGTTCCGAGTTCCGAGTTGCTCTGGACACTCTTGCGCAAGGCTGCCAAAACCAAGGCATATATATATATAAAGTCTCTACGTCTCTATACCCTTGTGGCTTAGGCTCAGAGAACGCCTTTGAAGGCTTGCTGGCCACCCATGGCCCGTTTACGGGTTTCTTCTGGCTTGTTGTTGCCAACGAGTTAGGCACTGGAACATGCGGCTGGGAGAACCCCGCATCATCATTGTCGAGGTGGTTCCCAGCTCACGTTGGCAAAACATTCGGGAAATGTTCAAAGTTAGGACAACAACAAGAACAACTGCAAATTAGGGTCGGAACGAGACGCTCACGCCGCCACTTACGGCGCGGAGCATTTTGCACATTTTTATTTAACCCCCCGCCTTTCCCCGCTGTTCGGGCCGGGTCGATGCCGCGATGACTTTGGGGGCTGGGGTGGGGTGGGTGGGGGTGGGGTGGGGCGGGGTAACAACGTGCGGGGCACAAATTGCTCGACGTTTGCTGTTTTTTGGGCTGCCTTAGTGTCACGCAGGCAGAGTGGACTTATATATGCCCCAGCATGTGTCACCTTGATAATTATGACTCTGACTGGCCACACAATTCGTTTAGTTCTGTGAGCCATTGTTCGCTGCAGTTTGCCAAGAGTGTTCCCTTGCCTCGGGATCTTTGAAAGGTTGGCAATACGCGAAGCAGGTCATGCTAAGAAGAAAGGCGGGTTGCGTCCCATTTCCAATGGCTGCGCATGATTGCTGGCGGGAACCAATGCCACCATCGTTTCACGCCCAGAAAATCCTGATTGGGCATTTGCCAGGATTGTGAATTCCTCCGTGCCGTTAGCGGTGGCGTGACCTTGATTATGCCCTCGCGGTGTCGGGTTATTCGGCTTGCTGCTAGTATTTCGAGATTCACATCAGGCACACATAGATAATATTATTTTATGACTCTTTTAACCCTACAGTGCAAAATAGTTGGGGAGGAGACCCCAGAACTACCAACTCCCACTCTTCTGCAGAACAAAGCAAACCCCACGGGAGGGCCAAACACAGTTTGAGGCCAGATGAGGCCAGTATGCGAAAATGTTAGAAGTCATGGAAGTGCTTGCCATTTCAGCCAAGCGACACGCTGCATTACAGGCCCTTTGATCCAACATAGCCCCTGGGTATCCAAGCTGCTCCAATTAGGCTCAGTGTGGGGCTACGGGTCATCTCGACGAGCAGAAGTTCGGGCAGGCCGGGATGCGCATTGCAAACAAGGATTTCTTCAAACTTGGTTGCTGCAACGACCCCCCTGCAAAAAGTGGACAGCTTTGTGGGGGTTTAGTGGAAAACACCTTTATTTCAACCAAAAAGTCAAAGTCTAAAGATCCAACCCAATAGCAGTCAAGCAAACCGCCCAGTGGCCAACAAGAGTTCATGTGGATTCCGGCCCCCATTTGACAATATTCAGCGACCCGGAAATGCAAACCCTGAGTTGATGAGTTGGATTAGTGGTTTGGATTGGTGGTTCCCAGGCTTTTGTAGAGGCTTCTTTGGGAAACCACCCCAGAACACCACCAAACCACCTGGGCTACAAACCACCGTTCAGAGGGAAGCTGATCAAAGGTTGTATAAAATCCCGAAATTGCTGGCCCCACGACTCCACGGCGGTTCCCGGCTGCACCTATTCCGCATCCCAGCCTCAAACGACGCTGACCGGACTTGCCCAAAACAAGAATGATGGAACTCCCAATGGGCGTGGTTGGCTTCTTGAGGGTACCCTTTCCCAAAGTCAAACCGCCAATTTCTTGGTTCCCCCAGTTTTTGAAGGACCTAGATTTCCTGCGAATGGGGGGATTTCAACATCATGTTGGCCGGGAAATATCGGGAGCTCTGTGAAACTGGAGGTCCACTCCAACCAAATCGGGACGTCAATCTATGCTAGGCGCTGAGGGGCCAACTAGGTGCAGGGGGTTCAACCCATCTTTGCGATGCGCCGAGAAAAAAAAAGCTGCGGGGCACTCACTTAGGACCAGGGACCTCTCTCCTGGAGGGCGTTCTTTTCGAGCAGGCCTGGAAGAAGGGATCGCGGCAAAACATTTCGATTAACACCTCAAACACCACGGAAAATCAAACAATCAAACCAACGAATCCAACAAACCACGCCAGAAAACAACGAATCAATCAAACCACAGACATCGCGTGACTCTAATCTCCAAAACTCGAGTGGTTTTCAGAAGAAGCAAGGCGAAGGGCCGCCTGCGGAACAAGTTCAGGTGAGGGTGTGTAAAGAGGTGATCATGTCAGAGAGGTTGGTTACCAGTGAGCTTCCCTTACGCCATGGCTGCCCCCCTACGGGTCATGACCCCTCCAATGCAGACCCCAGACCCTCCAATGGAGGAGAACCCCGACCCCTCACAAACCCTCGAAGAAAAAACACGTTGAGGCCCCAAAATCAATCGAGACCCTTGGGGAAATCGCATGAATCAAGGCTCCGAAATCATGACAGGGGTCACTTCCCCTCCTAAAGTTGCTCAATTTGCTAGCGGGTTCACCTGAAACTGCCACTAGTTGAGGGCAAGAATGGAAATGGCTCGGAAACCAAACATGAGTCTTCATCATGAGTACTCATTAACCAACCCTATTTTTGTTTGGGGGGGGAACGCCCCATAATGATGGTTTTCCTCCTGGCTTTCAATTGAAACCAAACCATGTGGGCTTGGTCTCACGGGCGTTTCCAAAGGCCCTGGCTGATCTTCCAGGATGCTCGCGATCACCTCGTAGGGCTCCTCGAACTGCGCGCCTTTTGTATGCGAAGTCCCCGAAGTAACTTGTGTCTTGGTGTAGGTGCCTCAGGTACTAACTGCCAGCCCAGAAGTGGTATACAACCTCTCTCTGTTCGCTCACAAAAACCAAACAGCTTCGTAGGGTGAAAAGAAAAATGCCACCTCTTTGTAGCTGATTTAGAGGAAAGCGTCTTCCAAAACATGTCTCGGGCACAAACGGGGACTGTCCTGCGGGCACTGGTCCAGCAGAACAGCAAAGACCTCGTCGAACCTCGCCGCGGTTAAGCGGAAGGGGGGGGGGGGGCGCGAGCTGCGAGGGTTCCGGAAACGGGTAATTGAATGAGCTGAGCAACGAGCTGAAAACATACTGTGGATGGTTGCAAAGTCTGTTTGGCACCAGCTTTGAAACTATGGGAAAAGCCTTGTCCGTTGGTATTTACAAGGGAGTCCGCAGTCAGGACACCTTCATATGTGCCATGGTCAAAACTCAATTTCTTTGGCCGATTGCGTCATGGTTCCCTGAACAGGAATTAACATAATGGAATTATACATGACCTTCACTACCAGTTGGATGACCCCCAGTGAAACCCAAAGGAAAAGGGTCTTTTGACCATGTCACCTACAATTCCTTCGACGGGCAACTTCTCGTTGCCTCACGTGCCTCTGAAAATCCCCCTGAGTCATGGTGAGTTAGTTGTGACTCATGTGCCCTTTACTTCTTGCAGCCCGAAAAAACCCACCCAAAAGGCAACCGAGCCTCAAAAAAAGACAAGCCGCCCATCGTTTTGCGAGGCGTTCACCAAGAACAGGCTGAGGCTACAAGTGCCATCCGGATTGTTCCAAACTCTGGTCGCCCGAAAGCCGGGTGCAACGCCCACTGTCGACGCGTCAACTTAGACTAGTTAGCAATCGCCCGCTTTTTGGTGAGGCCGGGTGCTGGGAGCCAAAGTCCAAGACATGGTTTGCCACTTAAAGCACTTCCCAAAAAGTGATCCTGGTCGAGCAAGTGGCGCGCACGATCCTCTGAGCAGGATCAAAAGTTTGAAAGCCAGGCCAACCGTGAAGATTTGGCTGTGGCTCAAAACCGGTACCAAAATGCAACCCTGGCAAGAGGAAACATGGACCACACCCTGCGTAACCCCTCCTTTTTGATTTTGAGCCACACCCATTTTTTTCTTTTCTCACCTGAGTGGACTGACAAAAACAGTCCAAGCTTTTTATTTACCACTAGAACAATGTTGGCCCCATATTACTCAACGCCAGTTTGTTAACAGGGGGGTGTCTCTGGGTTTAGTCGGACATCAAACCACTTTCGGAGGGAACACCCCCCCCCTATTGAGCTGGGGTTGATTCATATGGGGCTAACAGCAGTTTTCCCTGTGTCCAGCCCGTTTTCTCGTGACGTGCCAAGCGCGTCACCCCTTCCCCACCGGCCAAGGTCTGAGCTCCGGTGGGAACTGCCCGGCGCCGCACAAGGTCTGCGCCGCCTGGGAGAACCCCTTGCGGGTCTGCCTCAAAGCCAGGGCCTTTTTGGGTGTTTCAGAAAGAAAAGCCAACCGGAAGCCACCTACCTGGTTGGTTGGCTCCCTAATTTTGAGAAAACGCAAATTTCCCTGAAACGTAGGAGCCCCTTTGAAGGGCAAACAAGATGAAGTCAACCAAGCTCCGCGAAGAGCCGATTCCTGGCTCTGACACCGGCAAAAATGGATTCTGGCGCAGTGGATCTGGGAAATGTCCCCCCCCCCACTTGCAATCAATATGCCTCTTCTGTGTCCGAGCCATACCGTGGCTTGCAGGCCGAGCTTTTAAGCACTGATTGGGTGACCCCAAAAAGGGTCAACATGCACGGGCAAACCAATGGGTGTGTTGCCTTTTGAACCTACCCATTTCTGGGTTGTCTGAAAACCGCGCGCGGTCGGTTTAGGTCTAATCCCCAAACACACCGAGCCCAAGTTTTTGGTCTATTTCAGTGTTTTCCAAGGAACCTGTATTGTTTTTTTGCGTGTGTTTACAGAATTTGTTCTTTCCTTCCTTTTTTTTTGGGGGGGGGGAGGGGTTTCCGTTTCCGCTTCCTTTTTGCTTTTGAGGGGGGGGGGCTGTTGGTTTGGGGGGTGTTGGGGGTGGGGGGGTCAAAGGGTATGCAACTCTCCAAAAAGGGACGCGCTTGGATCCGATGCGACCAGAGTTGGTTACCCGGGTCATGGACCCATTTTTTAAGGGTCATGAAGACGGGTCCCATTCCTTCCAGTTGCACTGTCTCCCCCTTGAAATAAGCAACTATGATGTCCAGTAGTGATGTCCAGTTGTGAAATCCATTCTCCTTAAAACCCACAAGGGAAAAATAATACAACTCTTCCTTTGTCAGCCAATTAAAAAAAAGACTCTGCCCATTCCAAGCGGGGTAGGCCTTGATGTAGTAGCCCTTCAGGCCCAGGATGAGCTCCAGAACTCGCTCCGCGCAGCGCCGGTTCAAGCCTCGGAGACGTCGACCCGACTCGCCGTTGATGTGAGCGCTCCCGAGGGCACGAACTTCCAATTCAGAAAAACGTGCAAAGGACCTGGACATACAAAGGTGATCAGCTTTTGGGGCCTTTACTAAATGGACAAAAGTTGGAAAACAAACAGGTCAAAAGGTCGGCTTTGGGCAAGTGAGCTGACATCCCCCAGCCAGACCCCCCAAAGAAATTGGTTGGTTTCTTCGAGTCCTAAAGGGCGTCACCTTTCAACTTGATGGTCTATACATGGGTCACGTCGCGCGTGAACTACCGTGGCGGCTCAGAAGTGACAACCCAACCGTCAGGGGACCTGGCAAAAAGTTGCGCCCAAGCCAATCCACAATTTGCTGACATGATTGCTCCCATGTTGTGAAAGTATATATGTTCCCCCCAAAAAAGTTGGTAAATCAGGTGCAGCCTGACTCGTGCGACGTGCATCCTTCGTTCTGGTTTGGCCAAGGGAGTGAAGGGCCCAAAACATACAACCAACAGCTGAGGATTGCCACCTGCACAACCCTTGAAGCACCAAGCGCAATAGCCGAAAACACACCCTGACCCGGCCAAGCAAAATGATCCAGTCGATACTAAGAGTGCTACAAGATATGGCACATACTAGGGATACAAGTATATCAGGCAAATGATGGTTTTGTTGGTTTCCCTTGAAAAACTGCTGTTCCTGAGGTCACTGCATTCATCAGGCTTTCAGAACTTGGCTTTTTAGATGGTCCATGTTCAGTCAGAGAGGTGATCACCTGTATTTCTGGGTCCTTTGGACAAAGGTGGTGCGAAATGGATTTTGTCCATCTACAGCATTACATGTCGGCTTTGGATCAACCAACTTCCTTAAATATCTGTTCATGAGAAATCAGCAATGGGGCGACCCTCTCGGAGTCTCAGCGCCATCCTCCGGCAAACTTCCATGCCACGAGCCGATCGTTTCTTTCCGAGCAGCTCTTGATGTAGTCCAGCCGCTCTTTGTCGGTGCCTGTACGCCTGCAGGATGCAGGGTGAGAGGCATCCAGCGATGCGCAAAAAAAACCTGCCCTCAGCTGACCTGAGTCAAATACCTGGGGGAAAGCGCTTTCACACCTTTCCACCCATGAAATCCCATGAACATCTCAGGCCAAAAGCTTGAAGTCCGGATTCTGACCAGGGAGCCAAAAAGCGAACCTCAGGATTCCGAACCCGAAGCCGCAAGGCGCCTTCCGACCGCCTTCGCAACTTGGGAGGTGACCCAATGCTTCCAGCCGCAAGTTGGTTGACCCCTGACGAATCATTCTTCATAGGGGGGCTGTTCCCTTCCAAAAGCCCACTAAACCCAGGGGCAACCCCCATGCAACAGCAGAGGCAAAAAAGCTCGCTAGCACAGTAGCAACTGGAAGCACTGCTATCCGACCCCTTAGGTATGGCAACCTAAACAGGGCTTGGCTTTTTAGAGGGTACTCTTTTTGGTCTGGCTTAAACCTGAAGCCAAAAGGAAACTCATTTTTTGGGGGTCTTGGCGATTTCAAGACACCCTCACCAGCAAAGCAAAACCCATCGGTGACCTTTTGGGAAAATAGATGAGCTTCCCTGGCAAATGGAACACAAACTAAGCTGAGCGAAATCCTGCACTTAAGAAACCCTGGAATGACGATTCCCCCTGTACATACCAAACAAACACTGGTTTCTGCATGGCTTCTCGTGTGCTGAGAAATGGATTTCGCAACCACCCACGGTATGGGAACTCCAGAACCCCCACTCCCGAAGCGAGACAAGCCCGGCTTCAGCGGGGTCAACAGGTAGGTCACCAGGATGCAAGCCACGCCGAAGCCAAAGCGAACACCTGACGGAGATGGATTCCGTGGTGATTTCTTTTCCGGTAAGTTGAGTACTCGGTTGCCATTTGGCTGTGGCTCAAACAAAACGGTACCACAATGGAACCCTGGGAAGTGGAAACATGGACCAAAACCTGCGCAACCCCTCCTGTTTAATTTTGACCCAAAGCCATTTCCAGACCAATCGGCACCCTCCTCCAGCTAACATGGAAGCGCACAGACCCCTGGGTGGGAGGGCAATAGAACGCTTCATCTCCAACAACCATGTCGTTTCAGAACTCCTCCTCAGCTCCCTCTTTGAAGGCAAGTTTGGATACCCCCAGCTCTGTAACGGCTGCCTTCCAAGCAGCAGCTGCCCCTGTCCCTTCAAAACATCGACACAATTTGCACAGAAAAGGGCACACCCACATTCTGCAGAGCAATTGAATTGGTGGGAAATTAACGCACCAATTGACACGGTTCAGCGATTTGGGCGCTCTTGCTTCCTTGAGCGGAACAATCACCAGCGGAGCCAATGAAACATGTGCTTCCACTCTCCCATGTCATTGGCTTGGTGTTGCTTCTCCAGTGTCTGGATGGACCTGGGAAACACACACACACACACATGCCAGCCACATGACGAGCCGAACAAGCATTGGCTTGATGAGATCGGTTCCATCAAACCAGCAAACACAAACCCTAGTCTCTTCAGTGTCCGTACTGAACGAGCTGGGCATTCTCGGAACTTGAAGTGTCCGCAGCCTTCCATGCTGTTTTGTGCAAAGCAGCTTTTGCTGGCAAACGGTGTTTTCTTGTGTCTCCAAGCACATTCAATTTTACTCTCCTGGGACAAACTAACCAAGATGGAACGGAGGCTTTCCCCGAAAATGTGTCAATGACAACATTTGAAGCGACACTTTTGTCGCTTAAAAGCGCTTTTTCGAGCAAGGGACTAAACTGTGCGCTTTCTCGGCAAACGCCGGGAAAATGCAAACCTGGAAGATTCAGGTATGAATCAAAGCCATGCCCCCGCCCCCGCCCGACATGGTCGCCACGGTCAAAACTGCTTTTGTGGACCATGGTCTTCTGTCTCTGTTCGAGCCATGTGGCGCATTGGCCGGGCGTAAATGAAGCTTCAACGCATCAAAATCGCCCAATGGGCACAACTCAGGCATGTGTTTGTATCGTGGAACCCCTTGGTCGGCCCCTTTCGGCTTGACACGACCGCCCAAACGATAGGCCGCCCTGCCGCGCGTGATGCCTTCCAGCCAGGTGGGCGTCAGGCGGTCTCGGAAGAGACGCAGCTGATGGGGAATCATACGGCCACCCGGGCCCCCAGACAAATGCCAAATTCTTCGAAGAGATTAGCATGATTCCAGGGAACTGCAGGCAAAATCCAGGATGTGCGGCTTACAACCCGTCAAAACAAATGGTTCCAGTGAAATGCCCTGCCTGAGCCCTCAAAATTCCCTTACAAATGGGTTGTAGGCCCACAATTATGAGGTGAATTCCCTTTTTTGAGGGTCCAGGTGTAGTCTGGTTGAGTGCTACTGCATTGGAGTTTGGGGAGGGCTCATGTTGCAGGACTGTTTCAACTGTACAGGCCGCGGCCCACTCCCCTGTCCAGTGAACACACCCTAGGCAGAGAGAGTACATGACAAGCAATTGGGCCCAGGAATCAATCACTCGCTCGTCACGTTTTAAGCCACAGCCATCAACATCCTGAAAATTACCGTCAAAGTACTTTGGAGAACCCTGACCTCATCGAAATGTTTACTTTAAGGGGCTCAAATGTAGGCTGCTCAATCAGGGGTGTCCAGTTAGAGAGGAGGGCATTCACTTCTCGGCTGCACACCCAGTGAATCTGCCAGATTGACCCTTCGAGGGTGACCATCATTTCGAGGGCAGTCCCAACGATTTTCCGAACCAAACCTGATTTCGCGCTGGCCATATCTTTGGTGGTGGGCATACCAAACAACATCCAAACAACGAGGGACAAAGGGTGCCACTGAGTAATTGCCTTCCCCCTACTCCTTCCCCCACAAAAAACAACAACACATGAGCCACGTCCTAAACGTGTCATGATTCGCCTTGTCGTATCATTTTGCTTTCGCCACTTACGCCACCTCACACGCGTGGAGTTGTTCCTTACGCGACACATGTGGAGGTTTTGCTTACGCCACCAACTTACGCCGCCTTACGCGCACGGAGTTGTTGCTACAGGTCGATATGACGCGACTCAGGGTACCCTTTTTCTGTATAGTCTATTTTAGTAGGGGAACCCTCCCTAAAAAAGGAGTAAAAGGGCACTACTGGGGGACCTAGGCCAAGTTGAGCCGCCAAGGAATGAGATCCCTCGCGCGGCCTGCAATCTTGGTAAAGAACTCGCGGAACTAATCGTCTCCTGACATTACAAGGGCACTACTGGGGGACCTAGCTTACTAAACATGTACACGGAAGCTTTGGACGCTGCTCACCTAGGACATGAAATCCTTCGGGGCGCCGACACGTGAGCCCGGAGAAGAAGTTCCCGATGGAGCCAAAGATGCCTGCGTCGAAACGCACGCCCGGGGAACTCCCGGTAGGTCTAGTTTTCTAGCAAAACAACCAAAAAGGACACCTATGCCTGCTTTACCAAGGATTTGGATCCGCGCCGAAATCTGCTGGCATGTTGCGCGATTTGATGCTGGCCCAAACGGGTGTCTGAACACACAAAGGGCCCCCCACAATCGCGAAGGTCTCCCTTGAAATTCAGATTGAAAACCAGCCAAAAGTGGAACTTCGACCCCAAACATCCAAAATGCAGTTACGGCAGATGAATCCAACTCCGCGCCTCTTTCTTGCCCCGGTCTTGGTGGCGACTGCATCAGAGCGGCGGATGGCGGCTCTGAGCCCCAGCGAAAAATATGTGCTGGGTTTGCCGCAAAAAAAAAGGCAAGGAAGGAGAAGTGTAAGGAAACCAAGGTGAGAAGCAAACCAGGGTAAGGTACCTAAAATTTGAAAGTGTGAGGAGTGGAGAAGGTAAGAAACCAAGTCTCGCAATTGGTAGGTGAAGAGGCGAAATACCTGGTTTGGCTTCATCTTAAAAGGGCAGGTGTCAGGAGTCGGCAGGCTGGTGGGCTGCACTTATCAGGATAGGTGTCAAAACTTCGAGCAAGCATATGCATGAATCAATGGCTTTTGAAGGATAGAGTCTGAGTTCGAAGCGCAGGAAGCGCACTAACGCCTTGTGTGGGGCTGCGGCTTGACACAAATAATGTCACTCTAACTCAGCCAGACTCATGGACAATGAATCCAGTTTCCATGTCAAGGCGTTTGTAACGAAGGATGTAGGCGTACCCTCCGGCAAAATGACATGGATCCGCAGTGTGAGAGGAGTATCCTTAAGGAGGAGCCCTATCTCCTGGGCCAGTTTTGATGCTTCTCGGCCCTATCGCTATGGCCTTGGTCCGAAATCGGCTCTCCGAGCGGCATGATTTCCCAATTTGTTTGCAACTCATCGGGGCGGACCTTGAGGTTTCTATCCCTCCAACCTGCATTTGACCCACCTTTGTTTTAGCTTCTGTCTGCTGGGGTCGAGGAAGAACAGGTTGGGGTCCGAAAAGGAAAAACAAAGGTCGCCCGTGTCACACACACACACATACTGTGGATGGACGAAATCCTGCACCACGTTGAAACCATAAAAAACCTATGCTCGTTGGTATTTACAGGGGAATCATCATTTCAGGGTTTCTTGGGTGGTGAAGGATTTCGTCCATCCACAGTAACGCTCCCAGTGGCCGGCCCTGTCAGCGGAAGACCATTCATTCAAAACCTTTGGGAGGAAGGCATGCCAGCTCGAAACCAGGCAAATAGCAGGGAGCCATTTTCTTTGGTGGGCGTCCCTAAGCATTGGGCCGATGCCCATCTTAGGAAGCACCAATACAAACATGAGCAGTCAACATTCAATATTGGCCCTTGCCTGTTTGAGGGTTCCCTTTTTCAGGTTGGTTTTAAAGGGAACCCAACAGGAAAACCCACCATCTTTGGGGGGGTCCCCTCACATACCCACAGACCAACTAGGACTTGGAGCCCTAACGCCCACAGTCTCAACGCCAATCGGCCCTACCAAGGTCTAGTCGATTTGTTTCTCAAAGTGGGGACCTCTCCGTGTGATGTCCCTTCAGAATCGTCAAAAACGGGGTCCCCTGTTTTGAGAACCCCCTATGAAGATGTACCCCTTTTCGAGTCTTCGGCATCGCGAGTTTTCGCCATTGGAGGGGCGGGTGCATCGGCCTACTGTCAACTTGGACAAGTTGCCATCTGGGCCAAATGACAGCAAAATGCCGCGTTAGCATCTTGTTTTGCTACGCATCCATGATAGCTCAAGGCCTGTTACGGCAGCGGGTGAACATATACAATCCCAAGAGTCTCAAGGGTTCTGGCTTGACTCGCACAGTCCCCAAAAATTCTTTACACCCGCTGCTTTAGGCGATTCTCGCCCTGTCTGCCGCGGTTCAACACTGTGGCCTCCTCCTCAATCACGAAACAGTTGCTTTTCAGCAACTTCATCATCGGCTCCATGTGAGCCTTGAGTTTCGTAAGGGCATCCGCAGGGTTGAAATTATGCGGGACCCATCTCATCCGTCCTGAGAGTTTTGCTATGCTCTCCTGGATGATCCCGATCTCCAATGCAGAGCGATCATCATCTCCTTGCGCTTGTTCCGAAGCTGAAGCATCATACAAGCTTTTGGCATCTGCCACAGCAACAGTAAGCGGATCTGTGAAGGTCACGCTTTCCGATGCTATGACCGTGCCTGGTCCGCGAAGCCCCATCTGCACCTCCTCTGACACCTCCACCGCTGTCTCCCGAGGGTCATACTTAGATTTGCAGAAGCTTCGCCACACCGCAACCTGTTTTTCCATCGCCCCCAATGCTGTTGAAAGCGCTATGGATTCGCAAAGAAGCGTGTTGCCTGCCTTTCGGCGAAGTCGCCTCGATTTCCAGCTCATCAAGCTTACCGGGGCCACCTCTCCACGGTTCAGCTGCGGCGTTGTAATCGCCTGAATCCATCCATGCTGTGGCTTGACCTTGCCTGTTGGATCATAGGAGGCGTCCGAGATCACCAAGTGGCGAACCTGTTCCTCCGGGATGTGGTGCACCTTCAGCACGACGTGGTGGTTCTTCAAGTGGTCCACCACCTGATTTGTCTCCAAGACGTGCTGCATCAGCGGCTTCTCGAAGCAACCGGAGAGGATGCTTGCTGCTGCCGAGACGTCAGGACGTCCCTCACGTGCTATCCAATTGATGGCTGCCACCACTCCGCGCAACTGGTTGATCTCGTCCTCCTTCAAGCTTGTGGTTGATGCGTCCTTCTTCAGGTATTTGCGCTCAACCCGGACATACTTCAGCCTATTCTTGATGTAGTCCGCCATGGTGTATTGAAACGAACCATCCGGACCTTGCATGATCCTTCGTCCAGCATAGCCTGTGCCTTCTGGGTGCTCTCGAAGGTTGATGACCTTGCCGAACCGCAACTTCTTCTCCAACCGGGCCATCTTGTTGCGATGACGCTCATTGCCGGACTCCAAAATGTCATCCACCTCCACCACGATGATTCCTTCTGTTGGGTGCCCAGGGATGCCCGACTCGTTGTCCAGCGTAAGAACGCACCTGTCATATTATAGGCGTTCACCCTGTAGCCCAACTCCTTGACCAACACCTCCAAAAACGTCCTCCTCCACCACGCGGGACCTGAAACCAACCCGTAGACTTCTGTATTTAACAACAGAATCTGTCTCGGATCCAAGCCCGGCAACGGTTCGTCGGAGGGCTGCTTGACTGCGAGTTTTTGTTTTCTCGTTGTTGGCTTTGATTGCAGAAATGCCGTTTTGGCATCTTTGACGAACGCGCTCCACTGTCGTCCTGCAGTCAGCGCCATGAAAAGATACATGCTTGACGTCATCGGGGTGGGTGCTGAGCGTTCGATCTGATGCACCATCGGGTCTTTCCAACCCACCACGCACCATCGAGACTTGGGAGCCACCGAAGTCGTTTGTCCCGAACCCGCATCTGCAGCGTTGAAGTCCTCGGGCAAAACTGCGAAGTCCTCGGTCGGCTTCCATCTGTCCACGAACCTGGACGTGAGCACGTGTTCAGGATGGGCCTGTGTGAATGCAATGCTTTCCTCGACCGACAGCACCGTGATGGCACCGCTGTCGACCAGTGACTTGAACTCCTTGGCTCTGGCCTGCCGGAAGACCTGTTTCTCGTTGCCCTGCAGCTTCGAGAACTCCACCTGCCCAGGCGATTCCTTCGCTTTGGTCAAGTAGAAGCGCTTGTCCTTGTTGCTGAAGAGGCACACCGAGTCTTCCAGCTTGAAGGCTTGCGATGACCTTCATGTACCAGGTGCCACGGATTCTGTCTTCACACCACCTCGCGCCATCCTGCACCTCCGTTTCCTGGTCGTAGACCTCGAAGAGGGTCGTGTTGGATCTTGCTGTAGGCCATGGTTGGCTCTCCACATTGGAAAACGGGTACAGCATGGGCCTCTCGGAACTTTGGCGTACTGGTCCGAAAGACATCTCGCCACCTCGTCCTTCGTCTACTTGAACAGATACTCGGCGGCTGGACAGCCGACTAGCATCGTTGATTGCCGTAGAGGAAGATTCCGAGGGTGCTGCCGTGCTCTCTGCTTCCAATGCTGGTAGTTCGTGAGGTTGTGGTTGTGCATGAGGTTGTGCTGGTTGAGCTTGAGGCTGATCCACCTCCATGTTGCTTTGCTGATCGTCGTTTCCACCATCGTTGCCGCCGAAGAGGTCCGCGATGTCCTCATCGACTTCTTCTCTCACCGGAGGCAACCTTTGTCCCCGTGGGCGTACTTGTACCTGAACTTCTTCTTGCTGATCTTGTTCCCTGGCGAATGCTGTGGCTTCCTCCTCCAGGTCGCGATAGTGTCTGATGTTCCCAGACTCCAGGCCCTCCGACATCTCGGCACTGAGAACCTTGATCAGCTCCACGCCGAGGCTCTCCTCTGATGTTGCATGCCTGAGGTGCTCCTTGGACACTTTGAGAAGGTATCCTCGAAGAGACACCCACAGCGAACGGTTGTTCTCGCTGATCGCCACCACAACTCCAGGTCCAGACCAACCTCGAAAGTTGTTGTTCTCCCGCCACACGTAGACGGTGTCATTGGGCTTGAAGTCCTTGAGGTCTGTCATGCGCGTGTTGGCTCTGTCTGCTCGTCGGACAGCGTTGTTGTCCTGGGATCTCATCCATGCCTTGGCTGCCGCATCTCGTATCTCCCGAGATCTCGCCATGGTGTCTTCTTGGTCCAGGTGCAACTCGCGGTCCAGGTAGTCGTCTGAGAGCAGTGCTGCTGGAAGTCTAGGGCTGTAGCCAAACACCCGTTGATATGGGCTGAACCCTGACCGATCGTAGTAACGATTCCTCGCCACCTGCGTAGATGCTACCGCTATTTGCAGCTCCTCCTCGGTCTGTATGGTCAGCTCGTGAATCACCGTTTCCAGCGTGCTCTTGAATGAGCCACCAAAGCGTTCCACACGCCCATTTTGCCAAGGACTTGCCACGTCCGTGTAATGAACGATGACGCCCAGGTCAGTGAGGGTGTCGGCGAACTTGCTTCCAACGAACTCACCGCCCTGATCACATATCAGCATTCTCGGAGCCCCATAGTGAGCGAACCACGTTCTCAGCAGGGCCGCAGTGACTTGCTCCGACGTCTTGTCGTTGATCATCTCCACGATCTGCAGACTCGTGCCGAGGCAAACCACGTTCAAGAAGACCCGATCCTTGATGAAGAAGAGGTCGATGCCGATGCACTCGTTGAAACCCATGGCTCTCGCCAAATGACCGGGGCGTTGTGAGCCAGGCTTCTTCCGCCTTTCGCACAACGGGCACTTGAAATACTTCTTCACCCAGGCCAGGATCTCCTGTTTCGCGCCTGCGTGACGTAGTCCACGCACGAATGTGGATAGGTCTGGATGACCCAGATTCCTGTGTTCACGCCTCAACTCTGGATGTAGTTGATCGTCTCCTTCTTGGTCTCCTCGTCCGAGTTCTTCTGGTAGAACTCGCGAGCGTAGTTCCTGATCTACTCTCTGTTCATCTCCGCGTTCTTGGCCTTCTTCTTCTGGGCTGCGTCTAGCTCTGCCGTCTGAATGAGGTTACGGCACCGCTCTGTCGAAAAGCTTCCGAGTGGGATACATGGCACACCACTCAGACTGAAAAGCGCCTTCCGCCGTCACATACTCCTGTATGGGGTGTGCAGCGGCTGCTGAGATCCATGTTGCCCGGTTCTGGTAATCGGCGGGCAGCATCACCTCATTGATGAGGTCGAAAGCCGTAGTCCCTGTCCACCGTTGGGCGGCGGAACTCGTCGTAGTGCTCGTGTGAAAGCGCCAGTCATCCACTGACTGTTTGGTGCTTCCATCCTCGTAGGTCTTGGTCGTAGTCCGTTTCCCAGTGAACTTCTCCACGGGGAAGTCAAATTCTTCGCACTCTTCAAGAGTGCAAAGCTGTTGCCGAGGTTGGACATGTCGGCAAATGAGCTGGTTGCGTCGAACTTCCCAGCGATCCTTGAGCTCGACCACTGGAAAGTGTGAAGCCCTAATGTGCTTCCTCAGCGCCTTGAGGATCTCGTCCACGAAAGGTTGTGGGTACACTGCTGCATTGTTGGCTCGTCGATCTCCCACCAAGAGTTGATGTTCTTCATGATGCCCCTGACATCTCCGATTCAGGGCGCTGGCTATCTCCGGGATGTTCGTGATGATGAGTGTCGGCTTCTTGGCTGGCATCATCCTTGTTCTCGAGGAGTCGGGAGTCTGAAGTCCAAAACGGCACATGTCGAGGGTCACCGCCTTGACCTCCGGGTGCTCCTTCAGTTCCTCGAGGGAAGTCGTGGTCCATGACTTCGCCCGCAAGGGATGCTCGAACAAGAAGCCTCTTCCACCCGAGATCTGAATCCATGCGATACGGACTGCATGTTCCACATGAGCTCGTCCTTCTGCTTCTTCTCGCCGAACATCTCTGTAGTTCGTGAGGGCTCGTAGTTGGCTGAACACCGTACATGGTGGGCTCAGGACTACCAAGGCTGGTCTCAATCGTCTGATGAGGTCCAAAGACGCCTGTCTGCGGTCCGCACGATTGAAGTCCCATCCGGTGACCAAGTCTAGCGAAGCGCCAGGTCGAAGTCCCAACCTGCTCGCCCTCTTGGCCAGTCGAGGAGGGCTGTAGACCTCCATGACATCCACCTTGGTGTTCTGACTGATATAGTTGGCCAGATAGTGCTGCTCCTTGCGATCCAGTTTGATCACCTCGCCGTCCTGGTCGGTCACCCATGAGTGCATGTGCTCTGGCTGGTGAAAAACATAGCACCATTCGTCCACGTGCTGGTAGTGCTCGTTAGGCTCCGGGTAGATGCTGATCGTGTCCCAGAGACCCTCTTTAGACTGCCACCCGTAGACCTGCACCATGTTGCCGATCAGGTAGTCTGGGATGCTCTCCATGGTTCTTGAAGTATTCGAGAGGTAAATCATGACCGTGGTCAGGGCGTATCCCAGTCGGGAGATCTTCGCATAGAGCTTCTGGGCCTTGTCGCTCACGAACAACTCCGTCTTCGGTGTGACTAGGACATGATGGTGTCCCGGAAGTGCGGGTTGTTCTACTTCACCACTGCCATGTCCTCGTCTTCCCACTCGCTGCTGTGAGAGCTGAGTTCGTACAGCTCCGGTTCCGGTTTGTTGTCCCGGCTTGGCGTCTTGGACCTTCGGGCTGTTCGCAGGCCCGATGGACGCCTCACCTTCTTGTCCTCGTCGTCCTTCTCCTTCTTGACCTGGATGCCGGCGTGCATGTGTTCCTTGATCGGGCCGGCCGTCTTCAGGTCGCTGTTGTCCTTCTGGCAGTTGTCGTGCTTCTTGTGCGTCGAAACCTCTGGCTTGCCCATGCGGTTGACTATGACCTCCAAGTCTCCCTGATCCGGACGGGATCTGGGTGCTGGTAGAAACTGAGGATACTCCACGCCCTTCTCGAGTAGGAGTTTCTTGGCTTGCGGGGCTTCCGGCGCCTTCGATGACGAAGCACTCGCTGGAGTCTCCAACCGTTCCCACCGGGCTCCGCACAGCAGGCATGTCCACCATGAACCGTGTCGATTTGCCCGGCACCGCAGATGTTCCGCCGGATGTTGACATTCCTTCACCTCCAGGGCCCAGTGCTTCTGCGCCTGTGATCTCGGAAGTGGCTTTCCGATGCCCTGAGGAATCTCGCGGTCTGGGTCCTTGGGCTTCCTGACCTGGGACCGCTGGTTCTTGTTCTTGGAGTGTTCCTCGTTCTCGTCGTTGTGATGCGCCCTCTTCGCCAGGTAGTCCACCACCGCCTGTTGGCGCGCGGTGACCAGCATCGTTGACAAAGCCAGCACCAAGCGTCTCCACACATGGACACACTTGGCCACCCCCATCTTCTTGACCTTCTCCTGCTCGCCGTCGCTCTCCAGGCAAGCCATCTGATCGATCTTCCGACGCAAGTCCATGGCTTTGGAGAAGTGCCCAAAGAAGGGGGAAACGAATTGCGGGACTCCGTGTCCACTTGAGCATGTTGCTGCCACGGCGACGTGCACAATTCCACCATGATTGTCGCAGTGTCCGAGGCAGGCAAATTTCAATCTCACGGACAGGGGCCTCAACTGTAGGGGCCTCATTCGGAGCCTCGATGGCGAAAAACGCATCACCCTCGACACCACCCGTGTAGTTTTCATCGACATCGAGGTCACATTCGGGCGACGTCTGTGCATGAGAGCACTCCGGCTCTGTTTCACGGAATGTCCATTGCTTGAGGAGTCCTCGTGTGCACTAGCTGCCTGAAAAGGATCATCAGGCATTGGTCGCCGCTCCTGAAAGTAGACCTGGCCGTGCCATTCTTGAGGAAGAGCACGTTGAGCTTGCGGCACATTCCACACGTCCTTGACCCTCATGACATGGCCATCCCGGTACACCACGTTGATGTAGCGATCTGGTAGTAGGTCCACGTCTTCACCCAAATGACACTCATCCGGTGTTGGAAGGTGTCGTCGCCATCCGGGCAGCACTGCAATGCGCTCCACCCGGTTGTCCTTGTCCCTCAGCCACACTTCCAGAAATGGGTTGGCTGCATCGAATCGTGCCAAACCTTGTGGTTGTTCTGCATGATCTCTGGCCCTCGTTGGTGATATCTGGATACATGCCGTCCAGGGGGTCTACGTTCGGGCCGGTCAAGTAGTGCATAAGGGTCTTGACCATCAGATGTCCTCAGGTTGTCCGGCAACTGCCATGCACAGGTATTGAAGTTCAAGATGTTGATGGCACGATGTCCGGTGGGCAACCTGACCATGTAGTCCGATCGTCCATCAGGAAGATGATACCGACCAGTGTCAAAATTCACGATCGCCCGAACCGCCTCCAAATAGCTGACTGGCAAGAGGGGAGGCGTCTGGAAGGCTTCCGAGTCTTGGATGATGGTGAATCGAATGATGCCATTCACCCCGGCCACATTGGTCGGCACATCCACCACCTTGCAGATCTCTGCCTCACCTCCAATGCCAGCACATGGCAAATGCCTCGCTGACTTCACCACCCGAGGCCTCAGATTCCAGTTTTGCAGACTGGCCTCCATTCTCGCAAAAGCCTCACTGCCGCAAACAGCATCCTCCGCTGCGGTGTCAACCAATGCCTGAAAGTCCTGACACCTCACGCCAGCGAAGATGCTGATCCTCCTGACCAGAGGTCCATGATCTCGAACAGGTTCGAGGGGATCTGTCGGATCTGCTTCTCCAGGTCTGTCTGGTCTGTCGGGTGCTACTCGTTCGGCTGAGTCGGGTGGCCGCCTTCGGCGCATCATGAAGGCAGTCGATTGATTCGCCCCTGAGCTCACAATGAAACTGACCTTCTTGTCCATGGCTCGGTCTCCTTTGCCACCGGCGTCACCACCTTTGAGGAGTGGGCATTCCCGAGCAAAATGGCCCAGCTCATCACAGTTGTAGCACCTCGTCCGAGATTGCAGTTCCTGATCAGATCCCTTCATCACTCGCTTCTTTCCGCCTTTGCCGTATTTGCCGTGCTTGCCGTGCTTGCCGCGGGAGCCTTTGTCGTGCTTGGACTTGCCATAGCCCTTGCGATGCCTGACGAAGCCACGCTCCTTCCGCCGAGCCTGGAGGTCACGGCGAACATCCTTGTAGGCAGTGTGATATGCCTGAATCCATGTGGCCTCCAGCTCGTCGTACTCCTTGTCTTCGAAGACCATCATGTCTTCTTCGAGCTCCTCGTCGGGCAGAAGCTCTTCTGACTCGCCATCACCCTCATCGTAGGGGTGACCGTCCTCCTCATAATCCCAACCATCTTGGTCACCATAAACCTGCGCGGCGAATGCCAACTTTCCGGGGCCAGTATTGCTTTGACCAACGTCTTGACCTGCTGCTTTTGCAATCATCTCGGCCTGTCCAAAGGCCTCAAAAGATCTGCAACCTGCTGAAAGGTCAAAAACTGCGATTGGTCCTTCAAAGAAATAAGCTCCCTCTGAAAGTCGGTCAGATGCGCCTGCCGCAGCAACACACGTCCGGTGACCTTGGTATTCAAGGTTTCGCCAAGCTGCATTTCCAACTCCTGTAATGCAAGCTCCTTGTTCGCCACAAAAGTGGTAAAACTCTCGCCCTTCTGACGGTCGCCCGCGTAGAAAAACCTGTCTACAGAGGAGGGCCCTTGAATATCCAAATGCGGCCTGTAATAGTTAACCAAGGCAGAAAGGATCAATCCATAGCCTTCCTCCGTCAGCATTTTCTCCACCGGGATAGAGTCCGCCAAACGTCTTGGAGGGGTCTTGTCCGTGAAGCTCTGATACAGCTTCAAACCCCACCGCGCCTTCGGAAGCGTCGTCTCCAGCTCCCAATGGCTCAAGAGTTTCAGCCATGTCCTGAGTGACGATGGATTCCCATCCCACGCAGGCAAGCTCCTCTTCTCGCCAGATAAGGCATTCACCATTGCCTTGATCAGCTCGATTTGGCTTGGCTGCGCAGATGGGCTTGATGCTCCCGTTGCCGCATTCGGCATTCCCAAAGCTGCAAAAGCCGAGTCCACCTTCTGATTGCCAGCTGTATTCGCCGTCTGCTCAAAAAGTGCTCGTGTAGCTGCTTCGGCACCACCACATTGGTTTAATCCAAAAGGGTTCACGCCAGGTTGATTCAAACCAGATGAGGATCCTACTGTTCTTGCAGCTGCATCTCCTTTGAAAAGGCCTCTGTAGGCGCCGAGGTAGCATAAAAACCAGGAGGGGGCCTTAAGTCAGCGCATCCAAAGTTCTGCATGCATCCGAGGCTGCTTGAGCCTGCGCAACCAATGTTCTGCATTGCACCATTCTGCATTGCACCAAGATTGCTCTGTCCTGTGCCGGAAAACTGCTGAGTCAAACCGGTTGCGAAACCAAATTGCGGTAAGCTCGAAGGATCAAGTCCATGTCCAGGAGGAAAATGCATCCCTTGTGGGATTCCTCCTGAAGGCAAAACGCCACCCCAAGCTGCAAATGCTGGTCCGCCGCCGAATTGACTACCTCGTGGATCCGGTGAAAACTGAGCGCCTTTGCCACCAAAATTGCCGTTTGGCAAGAAAGTGCCAAGCGAGGGCATCGTGCCCGTTGCAGATGAATTCGCTGGTGCCGTCCCTGACGGTGCGTCCTGTGCTCCTTGAGCATGAGCTCCTTGTGCTCCCTGAGCATGAGCTCCACCTCCCTGTGGGCCTCCAGCCTGAGCTGGGTTGCCACCGATCGCCTGTCTGGCCAGATAGGCCGCCCAGGGATCCATGGCGCCAGCCGGACGTTGCCGGCTCCGCTACCAACTGACAGCAAAATGCCGCGTTAGCATCTTGTTTTGCTACGCATCCATGATAGCTCAAGGCCTGTTACGGCAGCGGGTGAACATATACAATCCCAAGAGTCTCAAGGGTTCTGACTCGCACACAAACTGGCCATAATATGAGCTGCTCCTATGGTCACTGTCAGGCTGCCCGCTGCAAGAAATTAGTCAAATAAAACATCCAGTCCAACATGATCTGAATACACGCGATGGTAGTGAATAGGTTACATACAAAGCGTCAGTTTGAAGTATTCTTTTCTCCCCAGTCAGTACGCCGCAGCTTGGGCTTCCTGGTTTGCCGTTTCAACGCCAAACATCCAAAAAGGGGTTCTCACAACATGTCCAAGAGACAACGCCTAGCGCCCTTCCTTCATTCAGGGGGGTAGTCATTGTTTAAAAGCCTGGTGCGCGCTTCTCGGACAGTGAGTTGAAACCAAAGGACACGCCTAGGCCTAAACCCGCGCATTCCCGGCACGATGCATCAAAAGCAACTAAAAGGGGGGAGGGGAAGTCTGTGGAGCCTCCAGAGAGTGTTCTCAGGTGTAATTTGTGCTGTTGTTGTTCTTTTCGGGGGTCCCGAAAAGCGAGGTCTTGCAATTCCAAAAGCCACATGCTTCCCTCCAGCCTCGTCGATAAGAGGCCAAACAACGACCCACCCAAATGGAGTTTAAGGAAGGACTCCAGTACTCCGAAAAAGGAAAATCCCAACTCCCCACGAAATTAGGGGCATCCCCCCACTAAAAAGAAATGGGGGCCCCGGGGTTCTGCTCGAAAATCCGGGGTCAGCGCCAAAAAATGAGGGGCCTTCCGCTCACTTCGCTTTGGGCCAAGGGTTTCCGGTCTCTCCCAGGTTCCCGGCGCGGCCAGGGGGCCCTCCAGTGCTTCTTTGGCCTCGGGCCCGGATGCCCCGGATCCCTGAGGCACTCTCACTTTTCCAGTGGATCGGATCCAAAGATAAACCAGACGTCTAGTCTGTCTACCACTACGCCCACCTGGTTTCTCTTCCGTTTCCTTCTGTGCCGCCTTTGGTTTTCCCCATGGCTTCACATTCGGGTTCCCGTTTGGTGGCCGTCTTCCAAAAAAGTGACCAAAGTCCGAAAAGGAACTCAGGGAGTGAGAGCTTGATAACGAAATGCTCATCTTGGCCACCCTTCTGAATACCTTTCGACACCCTTGGACATGTGGGTGTTCCTGAAAATCAGTCAATCAGCCCGAGTCCTAAAATGGCTTTTGCTTCCTTGTGGCTGCCCTTCAAACACCAAAGCGGGGTCTACTTTTGTTGCAGACTCACATGGGAAAGAGGGTCCCCAAATTCGCCCTTCAAGCACCGCCTTCACCAACCAAACAAACGAAACCCTGTCAGTTGGACCACAAAGGTGATATTGAATCCATTTCAAAGGGGAAGCATAGGCAGCAAGGAAGCAAGGAAGCAAGGAAGCAACAATCAAGTCTGCCTCGAGCCAGTGCTCTACGGGCCGGGCACGTTCTTCACCCGACCTGCCCAGCAGTGGCCGCGGTTCAATCGAATTCCCGTCTTGTCCCAAATTCGATTCGAGTTCAAAACTCCGAGTGGGCCATCGGCGAGGAAAAAGGGCCTATAGAATATCCGGCTAAACCCTCAAGCAGCTTGTGTGTGTGTGTGCTTTTTTTTCTTCTTTCTTTTTTTCTCGGGCACATGGCATCGTGAGTGAGACAAAGCAACCGAATCCAAAGACTCAACCCCCAACACAGGTTGGTTTTGGGAATGCCAAACCCAGCAGTACAGAGAAACCTGAGAATGTTTGGACCCGGGGGTCCCTGTCTCACAAGAAACGTTTCAGAAACAGCCCACCTTATGACCGTTCGGTTCCCGAATTCTTGCAAGGGAACCAGCCACCTCCAAGCACAGAATCCCGTGCGGCACATTGCAGGGGGATCCCTAATCTCAACCCGTAACAGGTAGTGGAGCACAGCATACCATCTGGAGGGATTGGTTTGGAACAACCCACTAGTTCTTCTAGTTAGAAAAAGTTGCAACAATGGCAAACCATCATGCACAGCCAGGAGATGCCGGGAAGTCAACTAGAGTGGCAGCTAGAAGCAGTGAGCCAGTTCCTCATTTTCTGAGTGGATCGACCAAGCAACTCCCAACTTGTTGTTTGCGACTAACATGGTCCAAACCCCAAAAGTGACACCTTGCTTTGATGCATGATTTAAGGGAAATCCCCTCCGGGCAAAGTCCAAAAGGGCACCACTGGGTCATAGGGAACCAATCTCTTTGGACGATCCCAAAAATCATCGCCCCGCCCGAGCTCGTTCAGCAGCTGCAACGAAGCATCCTCGGCTTTTTGCGTACCACGCTGTGTTAACATTGAAGTCAAAAAGGACTGGGGGGTCCACAACTTTGATGGCAAAACCCAACAAGTTCGACTTGTCGGTCAGTGAACATATAATTCTCCCAAACAGAAATCAAGACAATAAAGAGGTTCCGCCAAACGTGGACGTTTGGCTCCACAATCTGCAGGACTAACCCCAATGCAAATTAGGCATGTTGTGACCTTAAAATGGATGGTTTTGGCGTAGGCAACCCGCACGAGCAAAGCATTCCAACAGAACCGCAGGTGCAGCTTGCATGGCACCCCATGTCTTCCAGTGTCAGTTCCATAGCAAAACCCGACTCGCAAGAATCCTTCGCCGTTCAATGTTGGCATGAGTTTAGCATATCAAATGATTGAAAACCCTCAGTCATAAGGCGCGCAGCCACCGGCCAATTCCTTCGTAACATTCAAACTGACATGTCGGGGTACCTACCAAACGCTGGTTGTCCCTTTAGTTTCCCTTTCACATCGCCCCGGAAAAGGGTACTCTCAACAAACCACATACACACACACAACACTCACACATCTGGACAAATTATAATAATTTCTACCTCGTACCTCGAATTATTAAAAACAAAATAAAATACTACCTCGCAAATTGAGGGTCCACCTCGCACCTCGTATTTCGGCGCCTTCCTTGCCTCCTAAAAGAGTGTAAAATTGGAGGGGGGGTCGAGCCAGGTGTAGTGTTGAACATGTTTTTCCAACGTGTGTGTTTCAAGCTTGTTGAGGGCAATTAAGCAGAAACGGCCGGTTTTGACAACTTGAGACCAGTCTCAATGAGAGACAGACAAGGGCCGGATTTTCTCAAACGTCTGTGTTTTCAAGCTTTTCAAGGCCAACTAAGCAGAAATGGCTGGTTTTTGAGAATTTGAGGCCAGTCTGAATGAGGGACAGAGAAGGGCCGGATTTTCTCAAACGCGTGTGTTTTCAAGCTTTTCAAGGCCAATTAAGCAGAAACGGCTGGTTTTTGAGAAGTTGAGGCGAGTCTGAATGAGGGACAGAGGAGGGCCGGATTTTCTCAAACGCGTGTGTTTTCAAGCTTTTCAAGGCCAATTGGTTTTTGAGAAGTTGAGGCCAGTCTGAATGAGGGACAGAGAAGGGCCGGAGTTTCTCAAACGCGTGTGTTTTCAAGCTTTTGAAGGCCAATTAAGCAGAAACGCTGGTTTTAACAGCTTGATGTGTCTTTACGAGAGACAGCGAAGGGCCCCTGACTTTCTCGAACGTGTGTGTTTCAAGTTTCTTCAGGCCAAATAAGCAGAAACGGCTGTGTTGGAGAACCTGATGCCCGCCTCAATGAAAGACAGAGAAGGGCCGGATTGTCTCAAACATCTATATCTGTGCTTCAAGCTTTTCAAGGCCAACTAAGCAGAAACGGCTGGTTGTTGGGAATTTGAGGCCAGTCTTAATGAGACAGAGAAGGGCCATATTTTCTCAAACGAGCGCGGTAGCAAGCATTTTAGAGCCAAATAAGCGGAAACGGCTGGTTTTTGAGAACCTGATGCCCGTGTTAATGAAATTCAGGGCTCGGATTGTCTCAAAACATATGTGGTTTCAAGCTTTTTACGGGGGTCGGAATCTCGCACACCTGGCCAAACTTGGCGCCCCGGTGCGCCGAATAGCACCCCACAGATTTGAGAAATCCTTATTTCGGAAACCACCTCGTAATTCGGGGTTTGGGGCTCGCCTCAGGCCAGTGAGCTCGCTATAATTTGTCTAGACACATGCAAGAAAAAAGACGGCTTCTCAAACAAACAAACAACAAAATATGGGTGTGGGCCAAAATCAAACTACCAGAAAAGCTGCAGGTCCATGGGTTCTCATGTGTCCATTTACCAGTACCTATGTTTAATCCACAGCCATATGTGGCTCAAAATTGAAGAGCCAAAGGGCAAACCGCAGGATTTAGTCTTTGGTTACATTTGCCAAGGGTGCCATTTTGGTACATGTTTTTAACCCACAGCCGTATAGATTCTCTACAAAAGCCATGGGCTTTGCAACCAGAAGCACTGGTCACTTCAGCTCCCTTCGCGCTGTGACACGAGAAACCCACCGCAATTTTTTGCCAACCGGGCACCTTGCGTAAACAAGTTCACCTCCGCAGCAACCAACCGAAAACGGGAAACCCACCAGTTTTCAGCTTCCCTCTGGTGGTTGCCTCTGCTTGGTGGTTTGGTTTAGATTGGTGGTTTAGTGGTTGGGGATGGTTTCCTACGTACCCTCTACAAGAACCAGGGGTTCAAATCCAATTCCAAACCACCAATCCAAACCACCAACCTGATGGGTTACCAGTTTCTGGGCTCGTTTCACCAGAGCTGAGGTCTGAAAGGCAGTCAACAGGCAAAGTTCGATTCAAGCAACAAAGCAGTTTCGTTGGAACCCAACATGGGTCTCCTTTTGGGAAAATAGATGGGCTTCCCGGTAAATCTGCCGAGCAGCGGCCAGGCTAGAGGCGAACTCCGGTGCTGCCAGCGGCGCGTAGGGCGACACCTCGAAGGGAAAACGCATCGATCCCGGGTCGACCCCTAACAAGCGGTAGCCTCCCAGGCTTTTCACATGGAACAGTTCGACGTTCGGGGGGTCCTGGCTTGGAGCATTTTCCTTTTAAAAGGACCGAGCGTCAGGTTCCACGTTACTTGGTGGTATAGGGTAACTGTTCGTCAGGTCCGATCGAGTGGACTGGCCAAACAAGTAACCAAACTTGTTGTTTGCCGCAGTGGTCCAAACACAACAAGTGACTAAAGCCTTTTGAGAGCTAAGCAGGCTAAGCTAAGCGTTGGATCGACAGGGAAAAGTCACAAGCTCAAGAGGTCGATTCGTCGATTCGCTTTGGGCAAGCGAGCTTTGGCTGGATGAACGGGTCCCATGAATTCACCACGATCAACGTCAGCCCCCAGGTGCTAGGTTGGAGGAAAACCACTCCAGTTCCTGACGTTAACTCCCAGAAACTGTCAAAAGAATGACCCAAGTTTAAACAAAGAAAGAACGCCCAAGGCGAAAGGGCAAACCGGATAGGTAGTTAGGTATACTATTTCGGGATGACACCTAGGAAATCAACAGATACCTCCGGATAGGGTCAAGTTATGTTGCACTATCTTGAGCTTGTCTTCCAAAGGTGTCATCCTAGGGTGTACACAGAGACCTGACCCGCATTCTCTGTTTCACTTGTGCGGGACATTGGCCACCTAAGGGGGCATGCTTGGGTTTACAAAACCACATAGCTAATTCCAACAGCTGATAGTTACATCGGTTGGTGGGCCAGCTGCCTGCCCTATTTCAAAGGACACCGTATAACACCAATCAACTGCGGTTCCTGATCATTTGACATGCAGCCACTCAACCAAAAGAGCACGGCCATGACTAAACCAAGGATCCAACAAAAATGTTGGGGTTCCCGTTGGCTTCCGATGAAACAATTGCCACCTCAGAAAGAGTGAAACACAGTCACAACCCCATTTGTCTGCGGAAGGCCTTCACCTGCATGCACGCATAGAAGGCTCCAATCGAATGTGCACGGGTTGTTTTTCTTGCAATCGGAAGGCCTGCTGCCGGCGCGGAAGCCTGGCATCTTTGGGTCACTCAGAATCTTCACGTGTCAGATTCCCTCCAAGTTGTGGTTTGGAGGCCGGTGGTGTGAAGGAGAGGTTCCCCAAATACACCCTCAAGAATCTCAAGAGCCAGGGCTTCAAATCCGCCTCCAAACCAATCCAAACCACCAACCTGATGGGGTACCTGAATCAGAGGCGCTGGCCCTCCTCGCTTTGTCACATGGAACCCTTCGACGTTTGTAAATTCGATCCGATCCGATCCGATCCGTGCCGCCGTGTGCCATGCTCGGCGTATGAAACTCGATCCGATCCGCGAAGCGACTGCCACAATCCACTCTGGCTGGTTCTCAGCAGAGAATGCTAACCCCGAAAAGAAAAAAAGAGCAACATCCATCCTATGGCTTCCTTTAATAAATAAACAATAATAATTAAAAAACATAAAAACACAAATGGCTTCCTTTAATCCCCCAAACCCTGGGGCATTCTAGACTAGGCACCAGCAAGTCATTCATAACCACGGAAGGTTCCTCGTCCGGAGCTTGGCATTCGAGCAATCCATCCATATCACCCGGGCACGGTGGAAAATCCGAAGCCGCCCCAAGGTCATCCTGAGATGCCCTAAACGCTTGGTTGCTGGCGAGACCCCTTAAGAATGTCACCTTTTTTTCCGGAGACGTAGCGGGTTCCGGTTCCTTGGCGAAAGTTCCCACCTGTCAAGAAGAATCTTGCTTGACTAAACATGGACCAAATCAGACGAAAGGACAAAAGGTGGGCTTTCAAGTGAGAATTACAATAGGGCCATTGTCGCGGGTCGACCCTCTATTTTTTCCACATTGAAACACTGGGGGGTAGAATGTGAGAAAAAACCACCGAACCAAACTGGTCAAGACTCAACCCCAAACCCGTGGGTTTCGTAACAAGATATAGGAATCTTAAGCCTGCTTCCGAATAAATCATACCCAAACTCAAGCCAATGCCAATGCTCTATTGTTTCCAACCCCCACTTTTGTTTCGAGGAGGATCTGGGAAGCTGACCCCTTTTGACTGCTTGCCTCAATTGTTGCCCCTTCCTATGCCTTGGTACCCTTTGCAAAAAATGATCCAAAAGCAGCTTCTCACAGGGCCAAACAGCAAAGTATCATCGCGCCCGAAACATCACCCCACGACGGCACAACCATGCTTCAGAAGGAAAATCAATTCTGGGGAAAGGGAATCCTGGATTCCAAAGCAAATTCGTTGCTTGAAAGTACATGGCACAACATGTACCATGTCCCCAGTCAGAACTCCTGGCATCTACCAGACCTCCTGGCCGCTTCGCTCCAGCTCCTTGGCCCCCTTCTTTGACCAGCCATTCCCATGGCTTGCGCTTGCAGTTCCACAGGCCCAAGACGCGCCTGGCCAAGTACCGCAGTTGATCCACGTCATGGCGTAGCTTCCATTGCCCGGTCTGAGGCGAGGTCTCAACGGAACGAAGTGGCTGTGTCGTCTTTGGGAAATGGGTACGGGTCACAACTAAACCACCACAAAAACCGCAGGTTTTTTCACTTGTTTCCAGATACCAGATGGGGTACCAATTTTTGACCCACACCCGAATCGGAATCCCCCCAGAAATGGTTTGTTTCCTGTCGGCGCCCCCTTGAAACCAGCCGAGGGGGTAACTCGAAAGAGGAGCCACGTGGATTGACTGCTCAAAGACGTACGGAACAAGCATTTGGCGTTGGGCCGACAAAATGCCTCGTTTTGGTTATGAGCAGCTTTGGTTTCCTGAACAGTATCTACTTCCCACGGCGTATACGGAGTGCTGATCCCAAAAAAGGCATGAAGGCCAAGCGTCGAGCAATGAGCCATGACAAAGGCTGGGCGCCCAATGTGTTTTTTGTCTAATTCATAAACATGTTTATAAACAACACATCCCCTGCTCGTTTGATTGGAACAAAACGGTTTTGGGGCTACTTGCACCCAATGGCCCCCCAATTCTTGACGCGTTCCCGGCAGCTGGAAGACAGTGACACATTCGCCAGCAAGAAAACTGGAACTCGCCAACCAGGTGAGTTCCTTCTCTCTGGGTGGATTCCCAACTTCATTCTTTTCACCCGTGGACATTATGTTCACCCCATTTCCGTGTGGACGGCTGCCATTATCTGAACAAAAGGATCCTGGAAGGGAACGGGGAGGGCACGGCTACATTCATGAAAATGCGGCATTCACTAGCCCGCCACATGCAGCAGGCAACCACTGGCACCCCTTTCTGCACCAGGCCTGCCACACATGCCCGGTGGCTCCGGCGGAATCAAGACCACTACGACTACGGGGCTGATGTTGAAGCGAACCAGAGGGGAAACCAGCTCTCAACTTAAAAAAACCAGCTCTCAGCTATGCAACCCGAAACCCGAAACCAGCTCCCAACCCTTTTGTTCTTCAACTTAAAAACAAGCCCATTCTCAACCAGTGCCACGCCTGGTCAACGTGTCTTCCCAGGGAAGGTGCGGTCGCTGCCCTTCGCAGGTCCGAATTCAAAAGGAGCCTTCGCTGGGGAAAGGGGTCCCCCTGACAAAAAAAACAGACAGACCCAGATGTGCTTCAAGTGCTTGGTTGCCGAGATCCCTCTGCAAAAAGTGTTTTGCTCGCTTTTTGTGAGTCCCCTCTTCCTGATTCTTTTCAACCATCGTTCTTTTCCAAAACCGGATCTGTTTCCGGGGTTCTGATGGTTTTCTGGAATAAGGATCCGGATCCCCTGGAAACCCGAGACTGTGCACCTCTTCGCGGTTGCTTTCTGCTCCCCTGCCAAAAGTTTATGTTTTTCACTTTTAGTGGAATTTAATCCGGAAAAACCATTGGTTGGCAACAAAAAATGGTGAAAGTCCTAACGTCCCTTGGCAAAATGCGCCAAAGTGGACCTCTTCACCGGGCGGTTTTTTCGTTTTACCCCCCCCCGTCCCCCAAACCTCCCCGCCTCGGGCACCGGCTGGCCGGACTCCAAGGAGAGGGGTCGAGCGGCGCCGGGCCGGCGGCGCAGCCAATGCAGGCGCTCCAGCCTGAGGCGGCTGCGCCAACACCTTTTTCTAGGGGATTGATGTCTTTACACACATTTCACACATTATGATACAATAAATAAGCATATAAAACAGTCTCAAACAGAGCCACTGGCGACGCTTCCATTTCCATTCTGAACCCAGGGATCCGAAACTTTCCAGAAAACCATCAGAACCCCAGGGGAAACCGATCTGGTTTTTGAAAAGAACGATGGTTGAAGAGAATGGGGAATCAACCCCTAGACTTTTGGCTTGCACGTACCTAGCGGATGCCCTGGATACCAGACTAGGTCCCTCCAGATTTGAGAGGATAGAATAAGGGTACCCGAATTTTTTCGGTTCTGTCTATTTGAGTAGGGGAACCCTCCCCCAAAAAAGTGTAAAAGGGCACTACTGAAAAACCTAGCAGAAAAGAAAGGCAACCGCTTTCCATGTTCATCTGGTTTCAAGGGTGGTTCCCGCGGTGAGCCGGTCTTACACTTAGCCATGCCAGATACACTCCCTCAAACTCACGGCTCGGAAGCTCCCAGGCCGATCCTGTAGATGCAACCAAGGCTTCCCAGAGGGTCGTCCATCTTGGGGGAGGGTACCAGCATTCTTAGCCTGGAGGGTACCAGCATTCGTTTCCCTTCGCCATATGTGTTCATTTGGAAAGAAACAGGGTGGCCCTTAGATGAAACAACCAGGTCAAGGGCCATCTGCTTTCTACCCAAAGAGCACTAAGAGAACACCGCCGCTTGCCTCTGCCTAAGGGCTTGGAGGTGCGGAGGTTGGGTGGTTTCCCATCTACCCTCAAGAACCATAAACTCAAAAGGTCGGTTCAAATTGTGGAAGCCAGCCTCCAGGTCCAAAATGGCCGCAGGTTCATTTAGCCTTTGAAACTTTGGTGCTGGCTGCCTCACCCTTTGTCCCTTGGGGGTCCGAATCAGGTTTTTGTTTCAACCAAGTTTTGCCCCACCGGTTCCTTAGCCTTTGGTCTCCACGAAAACACTGGGGCCGTGGTTTCAGTTTTCTGTTCAGAGCCCACGCCCAACCCAGCAACCTGCTGGAAAGCTTCCCGGCCACTTGAAGGCGCGGTCATAGCGCCCACGCCAGAGCCTCAGCTACAAACAAATACGCCCCCGGATGCATCGACTTTGCATGGTTTGCGCCCCCCCTTTTTCTGAACAATACGCACCCTACTCATTTATAGTACTGTTTCCCCGACCCCTTGTAACTGGCCAGTTCCAAACGAAATCTAAGCCAGCAAGCACCCCGCCGACCCCATCTCCAGTTCTAGAGCACAGGCACCTCATTTGTGGTGCTGGCGCTGGTAAAGCTTTTTGTTGCATCATGCCGCTACTGCAGTCAAACAGCCTCAGGAAGAAGCTTCGCTGTGTGGAATTAAACTTGATGTGGGCCAACATGCAGGACACAGCGCAGCGACACGCTGTGAACACGGCTCTCTCTGCCAACCAGATTACGAAACATATATAGAAACATGTTAGTCTCACTTGCTGAGTGGATGGCCAAAAAAAAGTCCAAACTTTTTATTTACCACTAAAATGGTCTTCCCAAAAAGTTTAAAGTTCATGAACTCAGGAAGTTAGTAGTTCATCATTTAATCTTCATGGCAGCCGACCCGCAAGACTTCATTCATCCTCTATCGCATTACTAGCATACGTTGTCCATTGGCATTGGTGCAGTGACAACTTCTACGGCCATAGTTGGAGAAAACACATCCTCGTGTCTGCGCAGCACACGCTTTTCGGTCCAGTCATTCCTCTTGTCTGATAGAACCTTATGTACAGTAATATGATCGGGCTACCCGTCTTCTTGAAGCCTATGCCGTGCTGTGCTATCGCCCACGAATGTCAGGAACGGCATGAATGTCTCGAGACCCCGAGCGGCCCGTTTACTGCTCCTTGAGTGATCGCCTCTGCTCGCGCATCTGCTCGTCGATCTGCGCTTGGGTGAGGTTGGGCATCCTGGGCGGAGTCCGACTGCGCGGTCGAGGTCCCGGATCCTTCTCCATGGACACGCACTGCTGCAAGAGCGACTCCTTCTTGGCCGCTGTGATGAGCTCCGCTGTCATGACTCCGTTGGCATGGGGGATGTTGAAAGTCTTTATGCAGGCGTTGGCCGCGTCAACGTCCACCGTTTCCGCGATTGCGATGCGGCCTAAAGTGGCATGGTGTCCAATCTGCGCGCTCTTGATGTTGTCCGACATCAACTTCATGTCATTCACATCCTCGATATCTTCTGGCAAATTAATCACCAGCACAATTTCGCTTGTGGTGGAGGTTCCCACTAGCTGGGTGTGCTCTTCTGCACTAATCACCTTGGCTTTCATCTTCGGGATGCCCACCTTCCACTTAGTCACGGCCGCGACAAGGGCGGTTGCTGCGGCTGCAGACTTTGTCTCCATCACAACTTCCTGCTTGTCTGTTTCCAGAACGTCGCATTTCACTGGTGCATGCTCGGTGTTCGGGCCGCCGCACTTCTTGTGGAAAAAGGCGAGCGGCTTCTTGAACACTTCCGGAGGCATATCCCAGACGTGAACCCATCCAGGAGCACTCATCCTCACCTAAGGACTCCGAATGCGTCACAATAGATGTGAAACTGAGACCCGCTGGAGCCAAAATGGACACAGATACGGGATACGGTGGATGCCCCAAGAATTGCAGGTAAACCAACCACAAACCATGGTTGAAGGTACAGGGTTTTCTTCGTTCCCTTGCGATATTTCGGGCATCCGTGCCACTCTATGCTGCTATTACAATAAAGTCTAAGAAGGAGGCTCCAGCCATCCTCGATGCAACATTCAAAATTGAAAAAGGTAAGGCTGCTCAGCATTCATACTTATCAACACTGTACGCATACACATTCATTTCACAGACAAGGCTTCTCTGAAAGGAACATTTTCAGTGATCTGCAGTGAACACGCTGGTGGGAACGCATCGAGTCAGACATGGCTGGACTGAAAGCATGTTCGATGCAGTTCACTGGCTTGGGAGTGCAGAATTTATGTTTTGCAGGCATTGGCTGGGAGCCAAGGGAAAAACACTGAATGCAAAGGTTGGCGGGGTGTGAATGGGCCTCCTTGAACATCTCTCAGGACAAGGCAGGGCTCCCTTCATGCGCAAAGGCCGGGTGTAAGGTATCAACCTTCAACCAACTTGGAGAAGATCAGGATTTGAGGCTTTTCCAGGGGATGTCTTTAGCCCCCCTGAAATCAGGAAAGGATAATTCAGAAGAAGTCTTCAAGGGATCGAAGAATGCCTTGGCAGGAGACTGTGCGCCTAGGCTTGGTACGAAACATGCCACTGACTGACTGCAAATTCCTATGGTGTGTGGCTGGTGTCTAGGTCCTCCAGTAGAGCGGTTAGAATAAGGGTACCCACTTTTCTGTAGTTTATTTTAGTAGGGGACCCCTCCCAACCAAAAAAAGGCGGTGAGAAAGGGCATTACTGGGGACCACCCGCTTCTTTCAGGCTATCATGCCGACCCTCTACGAACAAAAAAGGTAGATTTGCCATGGCTTTCGCCGGGTTTCTTCAAAGATACTTTGAAAAAACCTGGGGTATTTTGAGTCGGGGGCTCCTCGGCCTCCATTTTGAGAAGCGTTTCTGGTTGAGATCTCCGAGGCCCCAGCGCCAGGCCTGCGACCATCGAGCCGCAGTGCAGCAAGGCCTCCCAGGCGAAGATCCGTTCGGTTCAACCATTGGCCACCCGAACGATCCGGATGCGTGAAAAACACCTTGCAACTTGTACATGGTGGCTTCCAACTGCATTTTGGTGTCGACAAATTGCCACATGGTTCAAATGGTTGCAACAGGGAGATCTTTTAAGGAGCCCTGTTACACTTGGCAAACACCGGCTTACGCTTGGCCCACATCTAGTACACGCAGACATTTCCAGATGCTCTTTCTCTCTGCTGTTGCGTCAAGAGGGTCTTGACTGAGCAAGGCAACGAAAAAGGTGCCCACTGATATTCAGCAGCACCCAAAACATATCATGTCAGGCTTTATATGTTCGAACAATGCTCCATATTTAGCCAACCCCAAGACTGAAGACTATTTTCGGAGGAGACGCCAGTTGCACGTCCTGCGAGAAGCTACACGTATTGCCGGCGAGGGGAAATGAGGGATCACCAAAAGGCAACAAGGTAACACGCTAAGTCTGGCAATGCAGTCATCCCCCTTTCTAAAGAATCACACCAACCAAACGAAGGTCAATTTCAACTAGCTCAACATTGCTCAACAGCTTAAATCAACTTGCTGAGAAACTGGCCAAACATGGTCAGCAAAAATGGCAACTCAAACTGCCTGGACCGAACTCTTGCGCGCTGACCCAGCCAGAACAACAGAACCAACGACCTCATGTTTTTTGTTTGTGCTGCATAGGTAGGTAGTAAGGATCCACGCTTCGAAGGAACAGCCACCACTCGACATCCGAGCCAGGTGCTCATAAGGCAACTACCAGGGCTGAAGTGGCACAAGCGACTGAGAATCAGAATTCCACGTCGGGTGGACTTTCATGTGCTTAAGCCCCTGGGAAAAAGGTAAGCAAACATATTTCCAGTAGTGGAATCGATTCCCTTTAAAACCACCCAGGGGAGAAAAAAAACATGTAAGCAAATGGAAGCCGATGACTTCAGGGATGGACCGCCCTTCCATTCCGAAAACGGTCCAGCATGGTCCGTCCAGAGCTAAAGGGATCGGATCTTTCCTCCCCCCACCCCACCCCGGTTTCTCATGGCCCCATTGGCCAAAAACAAAAAGGTCCGGTCAAATGGATAGACAGGCTGGGGGATCTGCGATCAATCGGTTTTTGGATGGGCCAGGCGGGTTTCTTTGGGGGGTTGGAAGAACATGGCCAGAGCCCAAGCTACACGGCAAGTTCTTGCCGGCCCCGCCCTGTCCGGATCCGAGTCCAGGAGGGTTCCAGCCTGCGGAACATGCCGCAGCAGGGTTCCACTGTTGTTTCTCACTTCAGTGGATTCGCCAACCAAAAGACGTCCCCAAACTTGCTATGTACCACTAAAACGGTCTTCCCAAAAAGTGATCACAGTCCGAAGCGGGCTTTGACTTTTTCAAGATAGACTTTCTGCCAGGCGTGCTTTACTCCGCCCAAATGCAGGGGGTTCAAGCCTACCCTGTCAAAAAGTGGGTTTCCTGTGCACAGAAGTCATGGGAGTGGGACACTTGGATGAACCCGCTTAGTAAAAAAAAAAAAAAACCGGAGAATCAGCATGCACCGTAGAAGGGTCGTTTGGTTGGGTGGAACTGGAAGTCCTTCACCCCGAACCGATCCAAACCCCAAAGGGTTGCCTGAGTTAACATGTCCCCTAACTCAGTTGCCCCTTAGGGACCCAATAAAAGGCGAACCTCTTGGGCCCAAAAAATAGACCAAGCAGCAGAAACTGAAAGGTGAAAGGTGGGCTTTGGGCAAGTGAGTTAAGCGAGTTACATGCAGGTCCTTGTGAACTGAGGATATTTTTCTCCGCTTTTTACTTGGATAGGTCATCCAAGTCCCCAACAGCCCCCCTCCCTGAAAGCTGCTCCAAACCACCCCAAAGCCTATCGGGGCAGAGACCCCATAGCCTTCAGCCGCTGGGGACAAAAGTCCAACGCAGGGAGGGCGCCCGAACAAAGCGACTCTCAACCACCGGGCCGTCCAACACGGTGATCGGTGCAGCGCTCCAGCGCGCGTTGCGGATCGATCCGGCCTGGGCTCGAGCTACGCATAGCTGGAAGTGACAGGTTTTTAGCTTCTGGGGTCAGGACCAAAAAGACCCAAAATGCAAAAAACGGAAACTAAAAGGTGACTACGTGGGCTGCGGCCAAGTGAGCTATTACTAGGCAGGTGGAGGTAGGAGGGGATTTTTGTGGATTGCTACTGTGGACCGTGCTTACGCACGCGAATGTATTTACAACACTCCAATCTGGCGAGGGGTCCTGCACCCACCTGTTGAACAAGGAAACCCTGTTTTGGGTTGACCATTCTTGAAGCACACGCCAAATTGCAAGGGAAAAGACAAAAGGCGCAAGGATCAACTGGCTGTGGGTCAAAAATGGATACCACAAATTTGACCCATGACCCATACCCGACTGGGTTAGCCTCCCCACAAGCCATGCGGATGAATTCGGAAGATTCGGAGGGTTGATCGGTTGATTTCTCGAGTTGTCTCTTGCAACTTCCCCCCTCTACATCTGGCAAAAAGTAAGCAAAATTGGCAACCAAAACGGGGATAGCGAAATTATGTTCGAAGCTACACCTGTTTAACCCAAAAAAATGATATGCTACCCAAGAAGAATGCATTTGGTACAAACCAAGCCGCCCTTTGCAGGCACTCTTGCTCACGAATGGCTTCTCAGTTCTGGGGGAATAGGTTGCACTCTGCAGCTGTGGGTTCAAGAAAGTTCAACCAAAAACAACAACGCGCGAGCGTGCATACATGAAAAGTATTGCATGAGCGTTTATGTATTTATATACGTACATGTGCGCGTGTTAAGTAAAGCATGCCATGCTCCCCGCAGGGATGTGTACACACATTCAATATATGCAAATGTATATGAATATATTCAATTCTACATGAATATAACCACATGTATATATCACATGAATATGTAGCATGTTTATATGCGTATGCTTATCCATCTCCTTCCCTTCAAACAATTCAAACACATGGCTGTCACCATCTACCAAGCAAAGTTGGTGACAGGAGGATGGGAGCTGGATGCAACATGGCCATGCTGGGTGGATGAGGTGCGTGCTTCCTTGCTGATAGCCATGCTATGGGTCTGGAGATGTGGAGCTTGAACCCGCTGGCCATAAGGGAAACAGATAACCCTGGTAGATGATTAAACCACCAGGTAAACCAGGCATCGCCACCTATTTTTCTGGCAAAACAACCAAAAAGGACGGACACTGCCCCCGGCATTGATGCTGCACCTTACCCCTTAAAACTCCAAGCCCTGGGGAAGTTAATCTTTTACAGACATATAGCCCATGTTACCCAAACAGTTGAGAAAAGTTGTGTTGTTAAGAGGTAAGGCACTGCATCCACTTCTTGCTGGTTCTGGCTCACTCCGGCTCTCGGGCGCCCAGCCATCCAGGAAGTCGTTCCTGAGCCCGGCTCGGGGCGCAAACTGGGGAGGTCACATGGGGGGGTCGTTTCTGTACGGGAGGAATGGACCCCCCGACAAATTGGTGGTGTTCCTTGTTCGTGCTCCTGGAGAAAAAAAAACACGAGAGGTGGTTTTCCAGGTGGTCATTCCCAAGAAGGTGAATGTAAAACCACCGCCTTTTCTGACTTTGGCAACCCCTAAAAGCCACTTTGCACCAAACTGGGCGCATGGGTGCTCCAACTTCACGTTTCTCGGTACTTGTTTTGGTTTTGCTGGTTTGGTTCTCTTCGGCTTGAATGGGGAGCTGCGAAGAACAATGTGTTTTGTTTGCAGTTGCAACACCAAGGGTCACACTTTCCGGACATTTTCTGCACACCCTCTCATCGTGGAACCTGATTAGAGACAAGTGTTCTCTCAACGGAGCCCGCCAGCAATGCCAACTTGCCCA